CAGTTTGATTCATCCTATACTGCTTGATTTGAGTGGAGTGGAGTCTAATAATAAGCTGTGACCTCAATATTATTTCGCCAATGAAGGAAAATGTTTCATCTGTACAGCTGTGCTTATGTTTACCAAGTGAGCTAAGTGTCTGCAGACTATTTGGGTTGATATAACATTGACAGATAAGTTTAGTGTAGTGCAGTCTTTCACACAACATTAACTGTCAGTATTATTAATGTCCACATATAATAAGGAACATACAGGTGTAGCCTAAGTGGAAAAGAAAAAAGCCTGAGTATGAAAGGACAGGGCGTTTACAATGTGGATTTGTATGGTCTTTGCGCATGGTTATTTTGAAGCTCTTCATTCATTTTTATAATGGTTGAATGTTCTGAATAAAGATTGCTCTGCTAGACAGCACCAGAATAGAAGAGAATGGCTTGAAGCCACTCATCATCAAGTCTTGCTGCAGGAGTGGAGAGGCCATAAAAAATGTCTGCTTGGGAATCTCATATTTATTTAGAGGATTTTCCATCTTCTGCTGGTGTGTCATAGTTCAATCTCAGTCACTTTGTGTACAAACTTATAAACAGGAGATTCCAAAATGGTCTTATTATTCATTATTATAGTGTTATTTGTCTGTTTGAGACTATTTATTTCTGTAGTGTTGAGATACAATTTATAAAAATTCAGGGGAAAAAGGCAGCTCCAGGAGTACTGAAATCCTAAAAATCTATCTCCAACACTAGGACTTAATACTACTATTACATTAACTTACATGTTTAACCAGGTCTATTTGTGCCTGTTTATAACTTGAAGCTTTAACATAACATCATTGATCACATCTATACACCCCAAAAAGGTGCAAGATATAACAATGCAGAATGGAATATGCAGACTAAAGCAAGTACTTGTAGTTTACACGTTTAGGATTGGCATTATTTAGTGAACGTTCTCAGCTGAAAAATAATAAGCACCTTTACCTACCAAGAACATACCCTTAAGGGTTTATAGCTCATACAAATGTATAAACATCCATTATTTCAACCATCACCTCGTACAGTAAAGCAAAAGAAGTATTGTTGTTTTTCTAGACTTTTTCACCCACATCAACACCTTCACAGTTGGCATGGGAACGGGTGTTCATGTTTACTGCTGTGAGCATTTTTCCTGGCAAGACTAGAGTGGGAACTTAAAGCTGGTTGTGGGATAAGCTTGTTTACATCATACTCTATTGGTGAGCAATATTTAGACATGTGCAATGTGTATGGTGTAACTAAGATTGAAGGGGGAAAAAAGCATGCCATACATGCTTTTCATGGTGAGTCTGTGTAATGTTGTATACATTAAGTACTTGGATGTGTGTGTCTGGCATGTGAATGTACAGGCTCTGTTGTCTGAGCTGTACAAACTCTAATCAGGGAGCATCATACAGTAGAATCTGAACAAAGTGTGTGGTGTGTGTACACTTCAGAGGCAGCCACAGGATAAAAAGAGGTACAGACTGGGGGAAGGGCTCATTTTCATGTAGTTCCTGACTCCAGGCATGACTGAGCCAGGGAGGGCTGCCATGCCAGAGATGTAGATCTTCACTTTCCCTTTAATCAGTGTCAAAGCTCTTTGCTTGCACACAAAAATTAAACATCTTAATGAGCTCTGGCTAATGACGGTATGGCTGAATAAATCCTTATTTATTGTGGGTATGAAGGTCTGCTGCGCCACATTGAGTCTCTGCTTTGCTGTCTGGCTGCTTGGAGCCAGACTACCAAAGCATAAACTCTGGATGAGGTAAAAATCTGGCGTGGACTAATTAATTACTAGCATGGTCTTATTGTGGCTTCATTTTCCAGGCTTTGGATGTATTTCCTCATCACTGAACATGATCATTGGAGCATTTTACCATGATACAGAATCAGCCAACTACTATGTCAGATCCATATGGATCATGCAGTGCAGATGGTTGAACTATGTAAATAAACAGCAGGTCAGCGAGCTAAAACAAAGTTCCACTCGCCCTTTAACGGGTTTAACCCTTATCACAGCCTCCTAGGTTTCTGATTTGCTGTTTATTTATGCAGCTTAATCATTTGTATACTCTGGAGAATTTATTAGCTAAGTATGAGGAGATCTGCAGAGGACACACAGTTATCTTCCCTCGGACAGAAACAGCAGCTGGAAATCCAGTGACCAGCCTGACAATAGACAGCATGGAACAGGCGCGGAGGAATGGAGCTCTCAAATGTTTAACACTGATGGATCGCCCAAACAAAAAAAAGGGTCACTGGATGAGTCGAATTAATAATAAACCAAAACATCCCTGTTTACTGTAGCTTGTTGCTATGACAGCAGGTTGCCTAGGGAGACTGCAGGCTTTATAGGCTGTTGTTTAGGTGATTTATCACCACAGCAATGGCTGTTTGTGTTTGTGTTACTATGCACTTTTAACGTGGAAGTGAAACGGGCACATGGCCAGTTAAACAACTGGAGCACTCTCAGAAGGAGAATGATTGATGATGATGATCTGTGGTATGGTACTGTCAGTGGTTACAACAGTTTGAGAAGTTTATGTGAGAATACAGGGATTCAGCAGGTCTAAATGTCCCTAGCTAGAATGAAAAACATCAGGGCTCTGGGTCTCGATTACCGGAGCTGAGCTATACAGCTGAACACAATATGATACATGATATGAAGAGACAGTCACATATACAGCCCAGAGAGGTGTGTGTGTGTGTGTGTGTGTGTGTGTGTGTAAGTCTGTGGAGTTGCTCAGACAACAGTTAAGTACCGAGACACACTGGGAGACGAGATCCAAACAGAGAAAGTTTTCTCATTGTTTATCTCAGTGCAAAACCATCTCCATGCTGTGTCTTACAACTGCCATGTTGAAGTGATCACACATGGCTCTGTGTACACTACTGTCTGCTCGTTTTTAAGCTTTCTAACTCGACTGAGAGGCTGTAGAAAAGAGCTGCTGATAAAGCAATCTTAAATACAGCGTTTCCGTCCCTGGAGACATAGTTTGTTGCCGGGTTTATGCGCTATAAAGACACAAATAAAAAGTTATACAGTGAAGCGTTCTCCCATAATTAAGCTTCTTTTCCAACTACATTTCAGGAAAAAATCCTGTCGCAACATCACATACGATGAGTTCAAGGTTGCACTCGGAGAACTGGCCAGGAAGAAATACAAAGAGAAGACTGGAGAGGAAGCCGAGGCAGAGGTCTTCAAGCTGATTGAGGGCAAGACACCTGTCATTGCAGGAGTCACGGTAAGACTCGAAGCGTAAGGATTACTGCTTTCCTAGCGGAATAACAGACTAAACTAAAATGTTTTAAAAACCTTCCCCACAGAGAGCCGTGGCCTCCCCGACAGTGAGTCGTCTCACAGACACCAGCAAGTTTACAGGGTCACACAAGGAGCGGTTTGACCCCACCGGCCGCGGGAAGGGTAAGGCGGGACGAGAAGACATAGTTGACACTTCCGGATACGTCTCGGGATACAAACACCGAGGGTCATACGAAAAGAAAGTGAATAAACCCACCGTGGGCAAACCCATGTGAGGGCGAGGATGAGGAAATAAACATTTGATCAACTACTAGGATAATTTTCTATTAAAAGAGTACTCAAAGAAAGCACAAAAGAATAGGATTTCATATATTTTCCCACCCATCTATTTTGTGTGTGAGAGAGAGAGATGTTTTTGAGTTCCTCTCTTTGTGAAGTGTGAGAACTGGAAAACTGTTTACATCTATTTTTACAAATTCATCACCAGCTGGTACATTCCTGTCTGATTGCAAGTTACTGCCAAACACTGAAGAGAACAAACGAGAGAAACTGCTATGCTATGAATATTGAAGCTTTGTTGTTATGATAGGGCCTTATAATATTTATTGAGCACAATTGAAACAACTTGCCAAGAAATACAAAAGTGGGACAAGTTTGATGAATTAGCGGCATTGCACCTTTTAATGGAAGTTTTCTATTCCCCTATTTAGTTGAAGAGATGCATTTTTAATTTGTTTTACAGAGTTTCGATCATAATTGGCACACATTTTTGACATAGATATTATCAATGTTTATTTCTTTTGACAGCTTAAATGGTTAATTCCATATTCAGTGTTATCTGTCTGCCAACCCCACTTGTTTGGTTTTCATAAAATTTGCTGTTGATTTTTTAAATGTTATGTCATTTCCATAATTTGCCTTCAGCTCATTTTTTTTTTTTTTTAAATACATTAGACTGAACATTTTTTACCACTGCCATGTCTTTCTTTTGTGAATATGTAAAACATGAAAAACAAAACACGTACCATGCAATGCACACTTAAAAGAAAAACAATATAACAGGAGTTTCCTATTTTACACTGTCGTTATTCAGACCCTGTTGTATCTACTTTAACCTTTTGCTAACATACTTTTTGAACTTTAAATGGATTTCAGCTGAAGGAAGCCCACACCCACATTAGATGAGCTCAGTTGTGCAAGATTGTATTTTTAACAATTTACTTATATTTCCTCATCTTATTTCTATACAGTAGTTCTAATATATTTGTGGTAAGATTGTGTATATTCTTAAAGGTTATAGCCACATGGCTTAATTTATGACACTGGCTTCATATGTTGTTGTTTTTTTTTTTTCTGTATTGCTGTACTTTGTGCATGTTACGTATATTGCATTTGATTCAGAAGCATATAGATGACAGTAGGAGTTTGTCATATCTAAACTGCCGTGCCTGCTGTGAAGACAGACTACTGGACAGACGTAGAAATATTTTCTTGCAAAAAAAAAATAATTAAGTGATGAAATTGTGGGATCATGATAAAATCGTGTATTGCTTGAAATCAATATATATTGAATTTTACAAATTCATCACCAGCTTGAAATCAATATATATCAACCTGTACATGTACAAAGTCAGCTATGCTCTAGTGTTAATCTATTTGTTGGTAAAAAAAAAAATGTACCGAAAGTACCTTTTATGTGTGGTACCATCATCCAAGGCACAAACTGAAAACAAGAGCAGGGTTTTACTGTTATATCTTTACATACTGTACGAGATAAAGGGAAAATTGCAAACAAGTAATATACTTTTGTAGAATATTTTTCCAACAGTGACAGTGTTTGTCTCACATTTGTCACACATTACCTGTAGCCTCAGCTGATGAAGAATCATGCATCAAGCGCAAGCATAGCAGCTATCGGTGTGTTTTTTGTCTGCTGCAGTAGCTTGAGTATGATCTGTTTTCTGTGCTTTATGCCAAATACTGTGCACCTTTAATGTGGAGGAACAATATTGTCTTATGTTTTTTTTTCCCCCAAATAACTTTAAATGTACTATTGTGCCCTGGTGCATGCAGTGTGTTTTTGTTCTTGTTCTTTAGGCCTCTTAATGTGTGTTCATGATTTGTAGTGCATTATGGAAAATAAAAAAAAACACACTCCTGAACCTCTGTTGAGCAGGTTACAGGGTGTAAGTCAAAACACAATGTTTTATATTCTTAAGGCTTTTCCAGGAACACTGTGAAACTCCCCACCAGTTTTATGTAGTAGCATCCACATCCTAACCTGGTTTGCCAGGTCTTACATTAGTGTTTGTGAGAGGAAAGTGTTTGTGTGTGTGTGTAGCTCTCCAGCCCTCAGGCAGAGGTATAAATAAAGTCACAGTGCAGCTGGAATCTAGATGCATTCATTCCACTGCAGCGTACAAAGCAGATGGAGACACAAGTGACCTAAAAAAAAAAAAAAAACTAAGAGACACAAAATCTTGCCACTGATCCAGGAAATACATTATGACCTTCTCGCTAACATTTTTCCACTCATAATAATCATCATCATAAACATAACAGCCCTGTCACACGCTCATACACAAACTTTCTTCAAAGAATTGCCTCTCCCCGTTACTGTTTACATCAAGCAAACAGCCTATACATATTTTTGGAAAATAATAAAACATACTATAAACACAGAAAGGGTGGGAACTTAATACACACAAAAAAATAAATGTAGTAAGTAAGTAAAAAGGAATTAAAAACCATTTGTAGCTTGGCTTTGTGCAGCGAATGTAGCACTAATATGACGCACATCATAGTCTTGCTTGGATATTTTAATCCCAGGGTGCTTCTCTTCATTCAAATTCTCCTTTAAAGTTCCCCACTTCCCTTCAGCTCAGCTAGCAAACACTCATTGGTAGCCACCAGGGACCTGCAGTACGTACACAGACACAAATCACAGACAGACAACAAAGTAGGGCAGATTTAGGTGTGAGAACATCATTGTGTGCAGATCCGGCAAAAAACCAAGTGTCAACACTAACATGCCCACATTTTCTTACCTGTGGCTTTCTTGCAGCATATTTGACAATTCCTTGACTTTCTCAGCCTCCTGCACTTTCTCCCTCAACCCCTCGATCTCTTTCTTCAGCTCCTCCACCTCTGTCTGGGCCTCTAAGGATGTGAAAGCAGAGTGTGAGAGTTTGTAAGGAAAACTGTAAAAATCAAACTTCTCCCACTGGCATTTACTGTACACCCACCTTTAATCTGAGTAATAGGCGAACTTTTCATCATAGACTTGAGATACTGTCGTTCTAACTTGATGAGCTGTTTCTGTAGAGAGACATTTTCCTCCAAGACAATCCTCAACTGCTCATTTAGTTTGCCCTGTGTTAGAGTAAAGACAATAAACACAGCATGCTCATCAAAACAGTCTAAAGCTCAACATAGTTTTCCAGTGCGTGTCCACTCACGACTGCACTGCGCGCTTCCTCCAGCTGAACAGAGAGGTTACGGACTTCAGTTTTGTGCTCTTCCTCTCGTGCAGCCGCTTGAAAGTTCAGCGCGTCAGCTTCCCGTCTTAAGGTCCTGACCTCAGCCTCCCGACTGGAAATATCGTTTTCCATCATAGAAAGGATCTGGACTGCCTGAGCTAGAGCCAAAAATAGAAATGATGAAGACATTCATTATCTCAGGCTCCGGTAATCAGATACCACATTCCCCCAAAAAAAAAAAACAAGCTCCAACTCACACAGGAAGTTGTTGTTATGATGGAGCGATCTCTCTCCCATCCAATGTTTGTCCACAAGGTTGAGGAGCATCTCCAGGGGTTTCCTATAAGTACCCTGGTGGGTGAATTCAGAGATGAGTAGATATGAGGGGGGGGGGGGGACAGGGGGGACAAACTCAGATATAATTTTTTACAATTAGTAAGAACCAATGAATAAAGACTCAGTATGTGAAATAGTAAGGAGACTGAATTAACTTCGCACCCTTTTTTTCTTTTCCACTGTCTCCGGCAGGCTGGAGCCCCCTTCTGTCTTGTTGAAGCTAGAGTAAGTCAGTCTTGGAGGATGTAAGATAGGGTTGGAGGGGTCAGACAGATTGAAACCAGGACGGCATGGACTGGGAGGGCGGATATTAATAAATGAAGAGCTATGCCGACAACTTTGATCTGGAAAAAGGTTGAAAACATACATTCAGCAACTTGCCAAGAAAATTTAATTGGGTATTTGTGGATTTATGGAACTTCTAAGAAGGGTTTTTATTAAGTACAGACATTCAGTTCTTACCAGGATTGGGGGTATAATGTCCCTTGGCTACATGTCTGGTTTGTTTGGGGAGATCCTTTTGCTTTTGTTTTCCAGGTACAGGTCTTTGTTTCTCTACATAGGGGCCGAAGGATACCTTTGGTCTTTCAGTCACTTTTAATGAGGTAGAGTTTCTTTTATCAGATGGCTCTTTCGTGTGTGGCACTTTGGACTTGGTGTTATCTGCTCAATTACAAATTACATAGTAAAACACTGATATTAACTAATCTTCAATAGAAACACTGTGTTCATGATTAAAAATACATAAGTATTGGCTTGTCTCCCCCTAGTGGTGTTTTTACACAATGTCAGGAAAATAACTGACAGTGTGACCTCTATTTAACTATAACCAGATAAAGTATTTTATTCTACATTCACCTAGTTCTGATTACTTATTCTGATCACCAAATAAAAATTACAGATGTTGATTACTCCACATAAAGCTGGGACTAAGGTAGAGAAAATTACCATTAAACAGTCTTATTCCCATCATATAATTATAGGATATCACTAATTCTACATCTCTAATAGACTCTGTCTGTACAGAGAGCTGTAAAAACGTACCATATTTTGTGGGGGGATACCTGAGGATGGATTTAGCAGTTTCCTAAAAAAAAGAAAAGAGCACATACAATATGAGAATGTAAATACTACTGATGATATTGTTTGACAGACAGTGAGATAAAAAAAAAACCTGTTTTGGAGTAGAACTCCTCTGTTCTGTAAAATCTTTTGATTCGTCCTCTGTGTGTTGTGAGACAGAAGACAGTTTGACATGAATAGAAGTTTGAACACAAAACATAAAATCTACTGGTTTGGTTTTGATTTGAGAATTCGCGTTTGGACTTTGGCATCCTACCTTCTGCTTCCTTGTGAACTGAGTCAGAGAGGGGCGGAGTTTTTCTTTGGTCCCCATGATTTGTACCAACGAAATTCAACACAATATCATCGGTGTCGGTCAGGAGAGAGAGCCTCTTAGTTAAGCGATCAACTAAAGCCAGTCTCTGATTACTGCTTCTGGGAAACATAATAAAAGCCAGTAAAAGCAGAAAGGAATTCATTTGGATTATGGTAACTTCATTATCAGTACATTAGAGTGATGGGCATTCATACCCTTAGTTTTTGTATTAACTAAGGACAATGCCATTTTTAAAATAGTATTTTTGATGAAAAAGATGACTTGTGTTTTGCATACATGGTATCTATGGTGATATATCAATCACATGACAGATTAACGGCCTCAGGCACCACAATGATTGAGGCAAGATAGCTGAAAATGTTTGGTGAATAGATTAATTTACCAAACAATTACCAAACATTCCCAAAGCTTCTTTGCCCTGTCATACTATTCTTGACCCAACAAACATCAAAATCAGTTCAGTGGGTTTTCCATGTTCTCATAATCATTGGTAGACCTTCTATCAAGTCAAAGTTGAGCTGAGACACATCAACTCATCAGTTAGTTACGAGTTAAACATCTGACAATCAGTGTACCTCTGGCCAGGAGCCTGATTTAAAGATGAGCTCTTCTGCTGAGGTAGAAGGTCAGAGGAGAACTGCATTATGGCAGCTTTCCGCTCAGTGTCTCTGACTGGACAGCTATCTAGAAAGCAAAGGAAGACACTCAGTTACGCTGCAAACCGAGCTGAGATTAGCAAAGTCTGGGCAACATGGCTATGTTTTACCTAGTTTGCGCAGGCTGGGCATGGCATGCACCACATGAGGGCGATAGTGTGGGTGAGTTTTGGTCAAGGGGTTGAGCCTGAGGTCCAGCTCTCTCAAAGTTGGCAGCTCATACAGCACCTTCACCTCTTCAAGGGAAGGTATACAGTTATAGTACAGGATCAGCCTCTCCAACACTTTCAAATGTTGAACGCCCTGGGGAGGAAACACTACAGCTTTAAAAGGGGTCACACACAATGGCAACTCTGAGATATGTTCATATTCAACAATGTCACCTACAACACCTCCAACACAAGATTGTATAATGCTTGTGGTGGGTGAAGTGAACCAGCTGTGGTTAGAGAGGGTCACTGGGTTGGTCAGTCACTACAAACTAATGCCATGCAGACAAATCTCTTTCAAACCTGCAGAACTTATCGTTTTCAAAGATACCAAATATGTCTGAAGGCTGAATCTTGGAGTTGAATATTTCAATGAATGCATCACATGGCTTTAAATGAGGAGTTGTAACAAACCAATAGAAAACATAAACGTTATAACGTGGAATATGATGACTTTAGCAGCTTTAAAAATTGTATTTAAGTGGATAACTGGACGCTGACCTTTTCCATTTTCAGAACTGTCATTTTACAAACACGTTTAAGGTTTAAAAACATGATCCAGACTTCAAACAGAACTCACCTCCACCGAGACGAGTGCATTGCAGGAGAGGTCCAGAGACTTCAGACGGACAAAGTGAATCAGTGCGTTTCCCAGATGTCTGATCTTCTCCTCGTAGGTCCCCGGGAGGCTCAGCGAGCGGACATCACCTGTTTAAAAAGCACAATATGTGTACAAATGAGACCGCACTGTATTATCTGCTTCTGGTGCTTTGGTTTACAGGAGGTGGCAGTTATTGCCCGGTAGCCATGTTAGCTGCTGTTAGCTTAGCCACCGATGCTGAGGCTTAAGAAAGTAACTGTCTACAACTGTTGTCATCACAAAAGCTAAACGCCACGGTTCTGCCATTAATGTTAGCTGCTGTTTATTTCTATACACCGTTTGTATTCGCATGAGATATAATGTTACCAAGATAGGGATGTTTTAATTGTAATCTGTCCCGTATCCATTGCTCTGTTACTGTTGTCAAACACTCCGCCGCCATACTTTTCGAACTTTTGCTGCCTTCAGGTACGGTCGGAAAAACTCACAAACGTCTTCCTGTTTGCCCACTGCATTACTGCCCCCTCCGTTTTACTGGTCACAACCATTGACAGTATATATAAGATTATAACCCATATTAAGAATAATTATTGTTTTCTACAAACCGTACTGGTATATCTGAATTTATAACATTACCTTTAATTCACTTTACCCGCATTTCGAATCATTTAGCACTAACTATTTTTAGTGACGTATTTTTTATTTCAATATCAAGTTTATTTGTCGAACACAGTCTCGTACAAAAGCAAGTAAATGATGATAAAACAGCACAAATTAATAGTCAAGTCATTCAGGAAACATTAACCATACTGTGAATGGGTACACAGCCTGCGCCTTCAGCCTGATGCTAGAGTTTACGAGCAGCACAGAAAGCCGCCTTTAGAGCATGCGCACTGTCCATATCCGGGCCAGTCACGTGTCAAAACAAACACGCAAGTGTTGCTGCTATAAGTTTGGATCTGTGTGCTCTGTGTAAGGCTGAACATTGACTTCATAAAATACTACCCTACATTTAGATCAATGCTGCAGTTGTAGTAATGAATAGAAAACACATTCATTTGTACCAGTTGTGTCTGTTGCCGTAGTAACGGTTGCGTTGGCAACATCGTGGATGTTTACAGCAGAGCCAGTCGTCGTTAGGATCAATGGCGTCCTGTGTAACAGAGTGGATAGTAACCTGTTCCAACATCATCCTGTCCGCCACTGCACTGTACTCTTCTTACAGACTTTTTAAGGTGGGTATCTTTCAGACAGTGTGCTGCCAATAAAGATGGGCGAAGTGATAACTGACTAACTTTTAGAGCTGTAAACACAAGTTGACTAATCCATTATTTGATATACAGACACAATGATCAACTATAACAAACTATTTTGAGTATCTTTTTGAGTAGTCAGTTTTTCAAGCACGAAAACAAACATTATCTGGTTCCTCCTACTCACATTTAAGTAATTTATGCCTTTTCTTGTTTCTTAATTTTAATAAATTGTTTATCATTGGATATTGACTTGTTGTTTGGGCAAAACAAGTTGTTGCAATATGTATTTTTTTGAGTGAACCACTTATTTATTAATCAAGGAAAATTAATTAAAAGGTAATTGATGACTTTGTTGCTGTCATCACTGTTTGGTTTGAGGTTTTTTCCTTATTTATTGGGTATTTCGCTGTTAATTTTATTTGTAATAGTGTGTAAAAGTGTGTATTCTAAACACCCTGAAATTCCCCTCAATTTTAGTTAGAAATTAGATAAGCAATAAATCCATATATAAAATGTCTCACTGTGTAATTTTGCTACTGCCTCTACATTCATTCATTCATTATCTCCCTGCAGAATCATAGGGCCCCTTCAGTGGGCCTCTTCCTGCTAGGAGTTTCTGCAGCACTTTGCATCTTTCATCCATCAAGCTCGTACCTCACCTCCATCCAGAGAGAAGCAGAGTGGGCCAGCGAGGTTCTGGCTCCAGCGTTGGTCTCCTTTGACTTCCTGTGGCTCAGTGAAGACCGCAACACAGCACATATTCTCCTGTGTGGCTCTTGTCTGCTGTTGGGGCTGTGTGACTGGCTCTCTACAGATGCTCTCGCAATGATGACACGCTGCCTGGGCCTGTCTTCCCTGTCCTGCTGCCTGACGGTGTGTCTGTTTGCTGGTAATGCTTTAGGTGCCTTTGGCGGTGTGACTCTCAGCCTCCCGTTGCTTGTGGCTCCGAGGGTCAGAACAAACACTTTGGCTCCACTCATTTCTCCGGCTGCAACTGAGGGACTCATGAAGTGGCTTTTAAAAGGCTCCATGTCTGTTGGCTGTTGGGCCTCCACTCAGGCCCTCAGGAAATTTCTGTTGGATGTGTCCGACCAATGTAACATAGGCATTTAGAAAAACACACTAGCACTAAAAACTGGACCTATGCAAAAAATAATGTGCCTAACTTAAAAGCATTTTAGGACATTTTTTGAGAAAGATGAGTTAACTTTATTGCCATTAGAACACCAAATGTTTGCCTCAGTGAGCTCATAGTGTAACAGAACTGACACAATTATTATTACATTATTATTATTATTAAAGGTAATAGAACCATTATATACATAAGAACATATACAATGTTTAACATTTAACTTCCATCCAGTAATGCTGACATGATAAGTTGATTAATTGATTAGTCAATCAACAGCAAATAAAATGGCAACAATTTTTATAATGGATTCATTGAGCAAATATTAATTATGGTGCCCCAGAGTAGCTGGTTCCAGCTAAATGTGAGGATTTATTGTTTTTCTCTTTGTTGTGTCATTATGAATTTAATATCCTTGGGGTTAAGACTGACAATGAGCAGTTTGGGGACGTCACCTTGGGTTCTGGTAAATAATAAATAATATAGATTAAAGGTTACATTTAAATTATTTAATCAAAAAAATAATGAAGGGTTTAAACAAATAATACAATTGTTAGTTGCAGCACTAGTGTCTAAATTGGACTCCACATGCATTAAAGTACAACATGCCTTTACATATGGGTGTTTGAGGAAAGAATACAAGAAATTATTGAGCAAAACAATTAGGCTGAGATACATGGAAAAATGAAAAATGAATAACTGATTTCTATCTCTGTTTAAAAGTGAAAAAAGTCAAATTGTCTGCCTGGGGATGGGAAGTCAAACGGAAGGTGGGAGTATTTCAGAAATAATCCCGTCCTTGCATTAATGTCTTACAGGAATTTACAGTAGCTGCTAAACCAAGACCTTGACTGAACTTCATATGAACTTAATTTGAATAAAAAGCACAGGATTAAACAAAATAACAATACCAGAGAGCAAACTCTTTTGCATGAGAGTATGTGAACACAGTTTACAACTGATAGCTCATGGTGGATTCACTGTGGTGTAACAATAAGCCTTTTATATACTGGCATTGCCTGGGTGACATCTATTGAGCTATTTTTAAAATTTAACAATGATGTAGGCAGCATGTGGGTATTGTAATTTCCACGAACATTTATTGTACATTTCCAAGAACGTCTAGCAGGCTGCACTCACTCCCAGGTCATTTACATCCTCCACACATCTCTCTGTGAACAGTTTTAGTGTTGTACACTCCAAAAAACACCCAGCTGCCTCAGAGTCTGGGTACTATTTGTTCTGCAGCCTCAGCAGTATCACTGTTTAAATATCTGCAATGCTCTTATCTCGCCCATTTGAACCGTATCAATGCACTTATTACCCCCTTGGTTTTTAGTGGCTGTAATGGTAGCAGAAATGACCTCATCTCTTTAACTCACTGTCACGAATAAGGTTTGTCCATAGTGTTGTCTATGTGAGTTATTAATATTCTTTACAGAGATTTGAAGTGGACACAGCAGATTCTCTAAGGATTTCAGAGTTGTGTGCAGCTGCATCAGCAGTTTTGCTGCAGTATATGTACAAGCATCTGCAGCTCAGTGTCTGTCTGTGGGACAATGCCTTTGTCAGACCTCAGGGTACAGGTGACCACGGACATATTCAAGGTATTCAGTAATTCTGTGGACGTTTGTGAGTTTAAGCTGCCAAAATGATCATGATAACTGTGTTTTTTGTAATGATTCATCAGTCAGTTCATGTCTTTCTTTGGAAATGTGTTTTTAAAAATGTAAAATGTTGTCTATTTGTTCTTTTATTTAATTGCTATTTGTTGAAACAATGTTAATATTCACTAAGGGAAGTCAACTTAACTTAAATAAATTGTGCAAAATCATTATCAAAAAGTCCCCCCCGTTATGTTACGTTACATTGCATTTCAAAGATCTCTTGGCTCATGTTTAATGGTTGTATCACCTGTCACTGTTGTTCCACTCATAGTCATTGCAAACACATCAGTATTTGAAAGAGCATTATGCTGCAGTTTCCGATCTTTATGAGCACCTCAAACCTAACACATCTCATACGGCCCCTGTTATCAGCATAAACTAGCCCCACCAGCTCCATCAGTTCTCCATGCTGTATCTGTCACTCCACCACTGCAGCGGCTCAGGAAACTGCACTGAGCATGCTCACCACCGATGCAGCCTGTAGATGGAGCAAAGTGGAGAAGAGGAGGAGGAGGAGGAGAAGGAAGAGAAAGGGGTGGAGAGAGAACGGCAGAGAGGGAGTCACACAGGAGCTGCACAAAGCACTGGGATGCTGTTACAGCTCTGAACATGGGAAGATTTGTCATTGAGAGCACCGATGGAGTGTGAAAGGGGAATTCAAAGGACTGGAATGTCTGATTGTCATCGCCAAAGAGGAGGAGATATGTGATAAGGTAAAGAAGATAAAGCATTATGCATGATGGGATGGGGTGATGGTTAATAACGCAAGAAATGTTGAGTCTCTGGAGAAGCTGAGACCAGCATCATCATGCATCCTATGATAATCAGTATAATTGTGTGTTAATATATAATATCAGGGTAAGAACTACAATCCCTGCTTTTTCTGCACTGTGATCAAGGTGTATATGATTATTGAGTTAATCTGTCATTTACAGGGACTCTTGGACGGCGTGGAGATGTATGCCTTCTACTCCCTTTTAGTCTACATCTTCTACACTGTCTTTAAGAAGGAGGAGGAAGCCTTGGAGGGGGCGTGTGGAACTTCCTCAGACGTATGTCTAGCCTCATCATGTCCAGCCTCGGGGGTCCTCTGTCAGGAAAACATTTTTTATGCAGAGAGCATGCGTTCGTCACCAACCACCTGCTAGTGCAAAAAGTCTATGTCATAAAGGATGTAGAAATTGGTTGTGTCATTGTTCTGCATTTTTCTGTGAGCTCCTATGTATGTAATGTGTACCTATTCTGTATGTGTATTACTGTCTGACCCTCATGTATGTTGCTGTGCTCAGGAGCCAGGACCTGTTTCCATGGGAACAGGGAGCAGAAGGAGAGATGGCCACACCTCCAAAATGGGAAAAAAGGCTTGTGCTCTGCTCAGTGACTCAAGTGAGTGCTAAGAATTTCAGAATATCAGCTTTTCAGAATATTTATAGTCCAACATACAGGCTGTTGTATGATACAGAATAATGATACAACATTTATGATATGTATGGTTTATACTAATTAATTCATTAGTGCCTAGATTCCACTACTCATTATTGTTCATGTGATGTGTTGTCATCCAGGCAGTAGCAGTGACAGTGACGAATTGTCTCTGAGTGATGAAGATGAGAAAGAAGGCCCCGACATCCCAGCATGCACTCCTCTGGCTGCCTTTTTGTCCTTCAAGCAGGAGGCTGAGAAGAGGAGGTCCTCACAAGTTCAGCTGGAGACAACAGCAAAGGTGGCAAAACTGTGTCATCACCTTGACTGAGCTGCTCACGTGATGCAGGAACGCAGATGAGCAGTACCCCAAATAGGAGCTTCTGTGGTGCCATTAAAGCTTGTCTGTATATGTGCTTCTGTTCTGCCCAGCTGTCAGAGTCTCCCCTGGTGGCGGTGATGTCCCACTTGCTGAGTTTTCTGGAGCAGTACTCCCACTTCCAGCAGCTGCAGCAGCAGGCCGACCAGTACCGGGTCCAGCTGAAGAGGCACCGCGTCCAGCACCGGCGCCAGATGAAGGCCCTGCGAGCATCCTACCGCCAGCGCCTCAGGGACAAGAACAGCATCATCAGCGGCTTGGAGGAGGCCATCAGCCAGCAACAGACCCCCAGTCCACTGAGTGAGGGTGAGAGAGAAAGGGAAGAGCAGCAGAGGAAATAAGGGATGGGGGAGGGTAAAATGAAGGTGCATGAGGGGGTGGGTTTACATTTCCATGCGGTGGGTGTGAGGATGATGAAAAATAGAGAAGTCGAGGTCACTTAGCTTTTTTAATTATCTCACAGAGTAGATGGTCTGAAAGGAGAAGCAGAAAATGGCACAGGGGACTAAAGGTGATATTTAAATCGATTTGAGACTTCAGATTAGATGAGATCATCTGATGGATGGAGGAAGATTGATTAAAAGGACAATGAATCAAGGAAGCCAATTTCACATAATAGGGATTATATTTATTGGGTTATGTAATATAGATGACAACATTTTCTCTCATTTACAATTGTGGAAATCTAGTAATTTTCCAATACTGTATAAAAACAGGATTTGAGAAGGAAAGCTCATTCAAAGGGAGTAGAAGAAGTGATATTTTTTCTAATTTGTTAGAAGTCATCAATTCTTAAGGCCGTGTCTTACGTAGTTCACTTCAGTGTTTTTCTAATAGAAGAATACAGCCATCAGCAAAGGAGCAGACTGATTAGATTTATGTGGGTGTTGGTGGAAGTCAAGTTGGCCAGACTAAAACTTCACAGCTGCCACTGACCTCAAAGCTTTAGATGTCGGTATCTGCTGTCTTTCAGATTTGACCAGATGGTTCTTTGGCCTCAGAGCATAAAAGGTGGATGAACTAACTGCACTGCCTCACTTTTCTGTACACATGTACAGTTTGTTAACAAGTGCATGACTCTGTGAAGCTGTACACAGATCCCATTCCTGTCCTTAGGCTGACTGACACAGTCCTTAGAGAAATATGTCAGTGCGTATGATAACGTGATACCCAGACCCATTTTTATATGAATCTCAGTTTGTAGGCCTATTTGAGCAGAGGACCTCATGCGCACCGACTCTCATTAGTCACAGAACCAAGATAAATGACTACGTGGTGAGGGTCTTTGGTACTTGGATAGTGACTCTGCGGCTCTCTGTCATGAATAAAACATGACTGTGAGTGCTGTTTTATTCCCTGCAAATGCACTGACAAAGTCTGGCACATGCAAGGTGCCACGTGTACTTGTGTTTGACTAAAAATAGCCCAGAGTCCATGTCCCAGTGTTACAAGGCTGTTTGGTTTGTTTGTTTACTGTAATGCAACGTGCAGGACTAAGTGGAGAAGTGATGCTGTGCCTGAGGACCACCACTTGGCTGTGTTGTGATCTTATATACGGGATTTAATTTGAATGAACGGCTGTTGCTCCATTCAGCTGCCTTTCATCAAGAAGAAATCTTAATTTTTAAAAAAGCTCTATCGTCTGTTTTTCAGTCGGAGGGAATAAGTTCTCTTGCATCATTTCAAGCTGCTGTTTTAAAATGTATAAAGCTATCTTAGTGCCTCTGCAGACCAGGACAGCTCATAGACTTTTCACGTTTTTTGCGAGCACGTTTCCTTCAACACCCTTGATGCACAGCTGTAGCCTCTCATTTTTTTTTGTCTTCCTGGCACCACCACCTCTCCCTGCACCATTGTGACACAGCAAACCTGACGTGGCGTGTTGATAGAATTAGAATAAGGGCCTGCAATGGAAATCAGAGGTGACAGAGCCTGATAAATCATTGAGGAGGAGGAAGAAAGCGATTAAAATGCTGTCGGGCATGCTGCTCAGGTTCTTGATGAATGATAGACGAGGTTTTAGCAGGTTGTTGCATGGCACATACATGTGAATCTTTTTTCTGCACTCGATCCTGGCTGCACGTGACAAGCTGAAGGAATTCCATATAGGTCTGTGAAGTTGCCCTGGAGACTTGAGAGTGGAAAATGTTAACAATGCATACTGCCTACATGGTGTGCAAAAGTGCTTACTTAATGTTCATTAATATTACACACACACACACACACACACACACACACACACACACACACACACACACACACACACACACACAAGCATTGAGGCATACTGTGGAAATAAATATGAAACAGGTCAGAGTGAGTTCAGGATATTAGCTAGTGCTATATCTGGGAAGGGGCCTAATATGAATATGGGTCTAAAAATGACAGAATATGATTAAGATTTGCCTATTTGTATCTCCAAGGTGAGTCCAGCAGTGATGCAGGGACACAAGCTGGGGTTCACAGGCTGGTGGAGTCTCTGTACGGTCTGCAGGGTGAGAGGAGTAAGCTGAGAGGAGAACTCCGTCTGCTGCACTCACAGCTGGAGCAGAAGGAAAAAGACAGGCACTCTCGCATACAGGCCTTTCAACAGCAGGTATAATGCTGCATTAGTTAAATCATAAATGCTGTATCAATTTTAATTTAAGGACTTATATTAAACGTTATTATTTTATGTCCATATGTATTGGGGAGGAGAGGGTGTTTATTAATAACCGGTGGAGACACACAATTACTGTACATGCATATCTTCATAAATGTAGGATGTCTCTCAGGTCCTATATTATCGTGCATCTATCTGAATGTTGTAAATGTTTTATGTGAATCTGTGTAATCTACCCCACACTGCCATTTTGGCAAGGCCTCTATTGCAAAAGAGATGATGAATCTCAAGAGACTTCCTAGTTAAAAAAGGTGAAAGTAAAATTAGAAGGGGTGCCCTGATAGCTCACCTGACCGTGTATGAAGTGAGCTGAGTCCTTACCGCAGCGGTCCGGGTTCCAGTTTTATAGATTTGATTTGTCATCCCCTCTCTCCCCTTTTCCTATCTCTCTCTACTGTCTTGTAAAATACCAAAAAAACATAACAATATATATATTCACATTGTGCTACTAAGAGAATGAAATAGGGAGTTGGACGTGTTTGTATTCATACCTGTGTTAGCAACTTTTAACTGTTTTCTTTTCCACGCACAGATCGATGAGCTCAAGAGTGGCATAGAGGAGCGCGAGGAGGAGCTGTCCAGACTCAGAACAGCCACCGTAAGCGCTGCGAACTATTGAATTTTAATCATTTTAAGTCTTTGTCACTTTCCTCACCATCAGCAAAGCTGCCACAGTGTATTCCCACACCGACTGAATGAAATACCATGCTGTAAAAATGCCATTGTATAACACCTTATTTATAAATCCATGATGAACAAACACACATCTACAAGGATATATATGTGAGGAATTGTCATAGCAAAGAATATTGGTTTTGATGCATCTCTCATTGTTATGCTGAACCTCATGTTTCATTTCCTCAGGGTGCCACAGATTCAGAGAAGCGGGTTCTGTGTCTTTCAGCAGAGAACGAGAGTCTGAAACAGAATCTGAGCGTTACTCAAGGTCTCTTGCAGCAGCTGTCAACCATCCCCTCCCAGTCCAGCACCATGCTCATCAAGGTGAGACAGCTGAGAGCTCCCCGAGGTGCTATGTTGGTAGCCACTGGTACCATCAAACACAAATACTTGTAATTGACTTTGTTTTATATGCTTTGTTAGGAGAATGAAAACCTTCGCAGCAGAGTGCAGCAGCTGGAGATGTCCTTACAGCAGCGTGCTGAGCAGCTGTCACACCTGGAGCGACAGAGCGAACAAAGCGAGTGGAGGAGAGGAGAAGAGCTGAGGAAACGGGAGGACCGAGTGAGGGAGCTGCAGCTGGAGCTGGACAGAGAGAGAGGCAAGGAGCCTGTGGTGAAGGTAAGTCTTATCTGAAAGGGCTATTGCAATAGCGTGAAATAGAGTAGCTTTGAGCTGTTAAATTATAAAACAGCTCCGTCCACATCGGAGAGTGTGATTTGTTAACTGGAAGTGGTTGTTACTAAGAAGGAATAGTGAACATAATTTCAAGAAAACACACATTACTTCTTTATTTTTTATGTTATTAGAATAGATGACCCTAATCAAATGTGTTTTCTCTCTCAGTACGTCACCCAGACTGTGGAAGTGGAATCACCTGCCACATTAAAGCATCTGACTAAAGCCAGACAGAGGAATGAACTGCTGTCCGAAAAGCTGTCCAGTCAGAATGAGCGGTGCAAACAGCTGGAGGAACACATCAGGAAGTCTGATGAATACAGCTGTAATCTGCAGCACAAGGTAACAAACGCTAAACTAGTTTGGCGTGAATTCTTATCTGTCATATCTGTCACACTAATACACACATCACACAAGTACATTTCAACATGCAGTATAACACAGTTTATACAGCAGTTTTTGAACATGTCAGCGACAAGCTGGATATAAATTTTAAGATGAACCGTGATTTAGGCTTTTGAAAATAATGCTCCATAATAAAAACTAATTTACCATCAGTACAGAAATTATTTTGGTTGGCTGCTGGCCACTAAGAGGCAAGGAAACAAATCCCAGATGCTCCTTGTGATGCTGTCAAGTGTAAAAAAAAAATGAAAGGGACAGAATTGACAAAGTCCAGAGGGGTAAATGAACCACACTGTGTTTAGAGAACAGATGATCAAAGGAGGAAAAATCAAACGCAGAAGGAGGAAGTTTCCACTTTGCTGCTGGAAATTCACAACTTGGATCAATTTAATTGACAGATGTACTCATTACAGAGCTGAACTTGCACACATTGGACCAGTCGAGCTGACAGATTGACAAATTGCTGTGCTGAACCTTTCACAGATTGCAGCGTATGAGAGAGAAATCAGTAAACTGAGAGAGGAGCTGTTGAAAGAGATTGGCCACTTGGAGGAGAGGAAGGAAGAAGCTGTGAAGGCTGCTGCCAACTGCTCAGCCGAGCACTTTCAGAACCTGCAGGACCAATTCTTCAGTGAGTTACACCAAATAATTCAACCCCCCAAGAATGAGATCTTGGTGAAGCTGATTAGCTTAGCTTAGCATAAAGACTAGAAACAGGGGGATACGACTAGTGTGGCTCTGTCCAAAGGTAAGATAATCCAACTACTAACTTGTCTAAATCACACAAATTAACATGTTCTATTTCGTTCGTTAAAGGACCAGTGTGTAGGCTTTAGTGGCGTCCAGCCGTGAAGTTGCAGATTGCAACTAACTGAACACTGCTGGTGTCTGTATTTGACAGCTGGGAATGAGAACGGACAGTGTAGTATGCAGGAAAAAGTACGGTGGCCGCAAAAGGCCCTATCTACAGCCAGGTTTGTCCGTTGTGGGCTACTGTAGAAACATGGTAGTTCAACATGGCGGACTCCATAGAAGGCAACCTGTGCCGTCTGTAGATATAAACAGCTCATTCTATGGTAAAAAAAACCCATAACAATTCTTATATTTAGGTGATTATACACCAATAAAAACATAACTATAAATATAATATTCTATTTCTGCCAATAGATCATCTTACATTGTTGGAGAGCTCCACACTGGAACTGAAGTGTAAAAACAGCACATTCTACTTTTCATGGACGAGTGCAGTGACTTCCTGGACTTCCTTGTTATCATTATGAGGTTGACAGGCAATCACAGGAGACTCAAGGAAGTCACAGCGCCTGTCCAGAAAATAGTCTTGCACACAACCCTGTGTTATATTTATGGGAGTGACATCAATCTTCTCATCTAACTCATCAAGAAAGCAAATATGCATATTTACCAAAATGTCAAATTTTTCCATTAAATAAATGTATTGAAACAAAACTGTATTGGAGCGTGATTCTACATGTTTTTTTTCTTTTGTCAGGCTTGCAGAAGCGCCTGACAGCACTCCCTCCAACTTTACGCTCTATGAAGACAGACTACACCAGTCTGAGGAGCCAGGTTCGAAATTTCTCAGACTTTTATGGATCGGCTATCAATGATGCAAAAAAACAGGTATGTATGTGTGTGTCATGATTCCTGTATGAATCTTGTCCGCTGTATCTAGGGGAAGGACAGATCCCAGTAAAGGAGTGTTATGTTTTTTTTGCCTTTGGCAGATTACAGCAGCTATCAGTGAGATGTCTGAAGCCAACAAAGATCTTCTGGAGAAATATAGGAAGGAGGTTGCGCTGCGCAGAAAGTACCATGAGCAGCTGGTGGAGCTTAAAGGTATGCAGAGAAATACAAAAAAAAGTCACTGCGGAAAATAAAATCTGTGTCATTAACTGGGGGCGCCCTGTTTTTAGGCAACATCCGTGTGCTGTGCCGTGTGAAGCCCGTGCTGAAGGAGGACCAGCATGAGGAGGGCCAGTCTGTGGTGGTGACCACGGACGCCAACAACGAATCCTCACTCAATGTGCTGAACAAAGGAAAGGGTCGCCTCTTTGAACTGGACAAGGTCTTCCAACCACAGGCCACACAAGAAGAGGTATTACATTGGACAGCATGTGTGGGTAATGTAATTATAACAAGAATGCTAACCCTTTGTCTGGTTTCATCAGGTCTTTCAGGAGATTGAACCCCTTGTGACGTCCTGCATTGATGGCTACCAAGTCTGCATATTTGCCTATGGCCAGACTGGTTCTGGAAAAACTTACACCATGGAGGTATACTCACTAGTTTAACGGCATTAATGTAGCCATAGGGTGTTAATCCATAACGTAGGCTGCAGGCTAAGTATCCTTTGATTTTCAGGGCAGTGTGGAGAATCCAGGCATCAACCAGCGAGCCCTCAAGCATCTTTTCAGTGAGATTGAGGAGAGGAAGGACATGTGGTCTTACAATGTCACTGTGAGCTCTGTGGAGATCTACAATGAGGTGCTAAGGTACAGAACGCTGCACTTTTCTTCAGATAGACCTAATTTACAGATACTAGATGTTGACTGTGTTACTGTTGGTGTTGTATTTTGTTTCTCAGAGACCTGCTGAGTAAGGATGGAGAGAAACTGGACATAAAGATCAACCCGGACGGAACAGGACAGCTGCATGTGCCGGGCCTCAGGGTCATCGAAGTTAAGAGCTTTCAGCACATCAAGAAGGTGACACAGTGTATTTTAATTAAACAATCCATAATCCTCTTTAAAAATAAATCATTTTCATTCATGCTAACTAATCTTGTTTTTGTCAAGATTTTAGCCACAGCCCGAAGGAACAGGATCACCTTCGGCACTCAGATGAACCAGCACAGCTCCCGCTCCCACGCTCTGCTCTGTATCACCGTTCAGGGCACTGACCTCGCCACCGGCTCCAAAACCACCGGTCAGTCTCACAAACATTTCTCCTACTACAGGGGAAAGGCTGCTTATTAATACCTACAATGAATTTGAACCAGATTTGGGATTCCCTGTCACTGGATCTCTGTTTTATTAAAGCTGAGTGCTGTCTAGTCATAATGTTAAATCAAAAACAATACTTCCCAAGGGATGTCGTTGTGAATATCTGCAGTCTTTAAGCAGGAGATGGAGAAAGAGAGCAGAGTGGAAAAAGTACAAAAGGGAAGCTTCTGCTCGGGATTCACTCAGAGATCCAGAGATGACTGTCTTCATTGCTTCACCATTACCCTGAATTATCTTTCCTGTCCTCAGGCAAGTTGAACCTGGTGGACCTGGCTGGCTCAGAGAGGGTATGGAAGTCTGGTGCTGAGGGAGAGAGGCTGAAAGAGGCCCAGAATATCAACCGCTCTCTGCTGGCACTGGGGGACGTGATTCAGGCACTGAGAGCTCGGCAGACTCATATACCTTTCAGGAACTCTCGCCTTACATACTTATTACAAGACTCCCTGGGCAAAGGGAGCAAGACTGTCATGGTGGTGCAGGTGAGATTGTTACTCCTTATTTATGTACACACACACACACACACACACATATATATATCTTTACAATATGTATGTTTTTGATGCTTTTATGAGTTTTAACTTTTCTACTAAAGGTGTCTGCGCTGGAGAGTAATGTGGGAGAGACATTGTGCTCACTGAAGTTCGCCCAGAGGGTGTGCAAGGTGGAACTTGGTCCTGCAGCCAGGAAGATTGAATCTGGTGGAGGACAGTGTGACTGAATCAGCCACTTTCCTGTCCTCAGTGATCACCAGGAAGCCATGAATCCACCAGTCAGATTATCTCCCTCCCTATCAACCAACCATAATGCTACAGTATCAAGATCAACTGCAATCCTGCTCAAGGGCTAAATCTGCGGGGTCCGTGTGGCACCCGAATGCCAACCTTTAATTGAGGTTAGATATTAAGGATGTTGGCCTCCTCCATTTTCTGCTTTTGACAAGTGATAACCATTTATCATTAGATAATCTGCATGCAGGAGTATTTATTCTTCCCCTCTGAGTGCCAAAACAACGTCTGACTACCATACCGTCTAAGATTTGATGCTTCCTCGAACTACAATATCTCGGTTTCCTTTTATTAAATATAAAAATCCAGGATTTATTTATAAACAGCATCATGTTCAAACAGGTTCAATGAGCTTCCAGAGCCACAATATCAACACTTCAGTTTTTGTAGTATTAATCATCTTGCTATAAATGTCCGTAGTTTGTGAGCTTCATCTCCAATGTTGTATATTTTTGAAGGTTGTAGTGTAGGAGAATCTGTTATGTAGCAAAAGTATGGGCAGTTTACTATTTCGATGACACTTAAGTCACATGTAAGTGTAGTTTTTGTGAGCTTTCTGTTTCTCTTTAGAAAGCCTTGATAATTTGCCTTTTGAGGAAATCTGTTGAAGGGATCGGGTAGCCTTGTACTGAGAGTGGTAACATAATGAAGTGTGCAATATCCTCCTCATCGAGGAGGCAGTTTGGGCCTATGTGGACAGAAGATGCACTTTATTGAGTGTTTCAGTTAAAACAGGTATTTAGGTGCTTGCAATAGATATCACTTGTGAATGTCATACCAAAAACAGCTGATTGTTATCTGTTCATCATTGTTCTCTATTTATCACCCATTCAATCGAAACTTTTGATTCAAGTGTAGCAAGACATTAATGTTGCAGTAACTATGATAGAGATCAGAGGTCACGTCATGATGATTAGAGATTGAGTTTTCAGATAATTTTCTGAATAAATATGATATGTATTTAAAAAGTGTCTTTTCTCTTATTGGTTTGCTAAACTACAAAATGATAAAAAAAAAAACTTATGTATGCCACGTAATCACAATCTCCCTGGTTCAAATCCAGCAGATACATTCTTTACTCAAATACAAATACAGATACTTGTGTCAGAAACAGGTAAAAGTACTGGTTCCGCTTCTTTTAACATAAACTTCCCAAGTGAAAGTGATGTACTCTATTACTATTTCTATTGGCTGATAGAAACTTCGAATAAGATCCCTCTCGTCTGTTTCGTCTTGTTACATCAGTTTATCGTTTTTGTATTTTTTGTCATGTTACATCTGTCATGCATGATATGCATCGGTCTGGATATTGGGAAGGCGTGCAATGATGCAAAAAACCTTTTAAGAAAAATGAATAACTCCCATTAAATGCATTACAAGTAACAAATAAAGTAACAATCCTGTTAATCCGTCTAACAGGGTTCAGAGACTAACAATCCATGCCAAGGAGCACTAAAGCTCTTCTGGTGGCCCAACACCTTCTGTTTGTTTTTCCTTTCTTTTGTCACCCATCTGTATATTGATATCAGATAAAATTACATATACTGTGATAGACAAGTATATCCATATATCCATATTGTCCACCCTTACTTTCAAATTAAAGCAAAATGCATGAAAATAATAATCAGGAATCTGAAAATTTCACATTATTTTACTTGAAAATATAAAAAACATTACAACTCAATATTGATGGTTACATTAACAATGCACCTCAATAATCCACATAAAGAGAAAGTACTACTACATATTCATATGTAATAATGCAATGATACAAGGCAGGACTAACACTGGGAATATGAAGTCCTGACAGAAAACATTACTTTATTCCCTGCAGTAGTGAAAGTAGCCGTCTCTTTGAGCACAACACAGATGTGACAGTACAGTCCCAGAGGCCATCCCTCTGTAGTTTCATTTTTTTTAATCTGTCACATCTTGGGTTCAGTCTGAGTCTCCCTCTTCCACTCCTACTGCTCCCACCGCTCCGGCCAACTCGTCCTCGCTGCCTCTGAGACGATCCCCTGGAGACACGTAAACACTTGCGGTCAATCTGATGCATTCATTCATAAAATGTCAATTGTCACTGGTCCTATTTCTGTGTAGATCCTGTGTATTGGCAATGACGCTGGGTACGGTCTTATTCAGGTTGAGTGGATAACATGCACCATTAACAGCCTGTAACCAAGCATATGTTGTCACAGCAACCGACAGTACAAGCTGCTAGCAGGCTATAGAGATACCTGTAATGCAGAGCAAAACAATGTTCTTTACAATAACACTAAATACAGCCCACTGCCACATTTTAATATCCATCAAAATCTAACTGTAATGCTCTGAGTTTGCGCAGAAGGCTCAAACCAACCTGAAAGGAGTGACTGTTTATGTTTACATACCACTATAAACTGTAACATATTAATTGGGTTATTGTAAGTACACGTTAACACAATAAATACTGTACCCTGAACGCATGCAAATGGAGGCAATTAGTAATTACTGTAGCACAAAACAAGGGAAAGCCTTTTAGTTAAAATTGTTTTGCGTTCTCCATGAAAGCTCAAGCCTATTTTTAGAATGTGGATCACACATCAGTGGAGGAATCACACCATTGATGTTATCAGATGGCTTCAAGCCTCTGCGGAGTCTGGAAACCACAAAGCAATTAGCCTAATAATTCACGCCTAGCTCAGACACGCTTGTCTCTGTAGTGTCAAAATTCAGTGACAAAATGTGAAATACTAACGGATGAGCTCGGCGATGGCTCTCTGTGTTCTCCTCTCCAACTTCTCCAGTTTCTTTGCCACGTCGCGCTTTAGATCCCTGGATTCAGAATCACAATGTCAAAACAATGTCAGTAAGCAATTATATCTTTAATTATAGGATTATAGATTTTATGCACCATACAGGTTGGAGAAAGGTCTTACCAGTCTGGTTTTCTTGGGGCGAGGTTGGCCAAATCCTGAGGAAAGAGAAACAGCTCAATATGGAAACTACAACTCCTTCTATGTTTCTCCAACAAAGGAAATCACATTTTGACAGAAAGGAGAACTCACCACTTCTTCAATGATGGGCTCTGGATTAGCTGCCTCTAACTGGTCTTTAACTTTATCCTCCACTGCAAACAAAGAATTTTTATCATCAGTCACAAATGATATGTGATAACACCAGGAATCTGATAGCAATACTCAAGGGGTGCCATCCAGAAGCTGACCACCTGAAGTCATCCGAGTTAATGTTTTTTCAAAGCTTGTTTATGATTGAAGAGTTCTTACCTGATGCAGGTTTGGCTTTGGGCACCTGCCTCTCCTTCAGCTCTTCATCCTCTGGGGTGTAATTCCTCAGTTTTAGTTCTCTGAGGACAGAAATATAAATAAGTAATGTGAGTCTCACACTTTTTCCACACACTTTTCTCAGTCCAGGAGGTGGCAGTGTGGGCAAGTATATACCACCAGAGATTTAAGGAGCATAAAAGACCATCTGCAAACCCTACACAGCTGCACATCTAATGTCTAGAGGGGATCGGGTATAATGTCTCTCTTTATTCCTATGAACACGTCTGATTAACATGTTCCACCTGCTCCTGGGCACAGACTTGAGGGGAGCAGCAAACAGCTGAGGAATGCTTTTCTTGATGTTAAATTACGCAGTCTTTCATCACATCTCCACACAGAGGAATTCTTGGCGAGCTTCGCTGACATCTCTGCAGATTATACAGAAAGTCCAGAGGCAGCGGTAAACTATTGTCTGACCAAGCACGGACCAAGAGAGTTATCAGCTGTTGTAAGCTTAACATGGATTTGTGATGAAGCTCGAGGGGGTGCACTCTTGATACATTCATCACACCCCTGCTGCCAACAGACAGACCGATGCCTTGTATGGGTATGGGCAGGAATGCTGGTCATGTTCTGACTTTGGCTGACTGTGGACCACTACTCGTTCACACATCTCTCTCTATGCCTCCTGGCTCTCTCCTGAGGAGAGTGTCTCAGTGGAGGAATAATTTGCTCTATCCATCTCATCCCTAAACTGAATTCTCATTCCACTAATGCACACGCTTTATTGCATTTATTGGAAGTGAAACAGAATCTTCTGGAATATAAATATGACATTAACTGCAACACCACCTTCAATAAATGAAGAAAATAAACAAAGGAAAACTACATAAATGGTAAATAAAACTGAATATAAAACAAATTAAAATAGTGAGTCAGTGTTACAAAGATCAGAAGCCCTGACAGCAAGTCAGTAAGTCAGTAAGTTTATTAACTTAGTTTACCCAGAGCTAACCCAAGGCTGACTACAGGCCATCATTTATCAGCCTTTGATAGATCGTATTGTGATTAAATAAAAGTAAAATGGATGATTGAAAAGGTTTTACCATTGGTCCATTTCTATTGGGCTGCATTATGCAATATATTTTGTGGAAGTGGACATTTAGTTGCAAGGGTGGCTCTAGCGCAAAGGCCAGGGAATCACCAAAACAAGATTCATCCTCTGCAAGCCATGACTATCAAGGGAAAACTTTATTGCATTCTTGACATTATTTATTTTTTTTACAAAATGTATATTTTGGGGTAAAAACCAAACTTCACATCATCCTGGCCGGTAAATGTCAAGATCTAGACCAGAACTGAATACAGATACTGAAAAACACCACCACTAGCAGGACGCAATAAAACTGGATAAACAGACTGTACATGTCGTTTTTTTCAAAGTTTGACATCACTCCTTTTTTCTTAACTTCCTCATAGTTTGATGCATCCAAACCTTTAGTGTATTTACACATTTCCACTTCAAGCACACTGTGGCATCAAAGGGAGCCAGTGATAAATTCAGAGCACTGACCCAAGTCTGGCCCTCTCAAAATGTTTAGAGCGAACTGTGGCAGAGGAGGAGGTGCCGCAGGGTGTTCAAATGTTTACACTCATATCGAACTACTTGCTCCATTCACCAGAGAAAAAATAACTCCAGACCGACAAATGATATTTACACATATCCACAGAGATTGTTAAAGCTAACACGTAATCAGTCAATATTTTACAGGCTTTTGAACTTCTTTGAATCGCATTTGCTATTTCCAGTCAGTATAAATCTTCTTACCTGTCAATCTAAAAACAGTAGCCTAACACCTAACAAGACGTAACAGGAAAAGCTGCATGGGGCAGTTGGTGCCTTTTGTGGAATAGGCTTGGAGGAATGTATGATAACATACAGGGAGCTGGAAAACACAAGTTCTACTGTTTTGACTTCTAAAACTTGTGGATCATTCATTTGAACAGCAATAAATTCAGGACAAACATTTAGTTTGTTGTGTTCTTTCATGCCCTGGTTTGGGAATTTGATCTCCCATGAAATTTTAATACCAATGACAAGATACATTACACTCACAATCTGCTACACATGTGTGCTTTGACATAGCAAAACACAGATTAAAAAAAAAAGTACATTCAACACTGATCTTTTCTCTTCACTGACAAATGTCTAAATTAGGCCTCTAAACTCTGCAGCTATTTTCATTCTCATGAGAGAGAGAGATCTGTCCTGTTGGACTGGAGGAAACACAGCGGCACTCCCTCAGTGCAGTCATTAAATATAAACAATGGAAAAAAGGTCCTGTAGGACAGGAAAGATGGCTGTTCCTTCCTACCGACTAACACACAAAGTTGAGTAGCCTGCAGGATATTTGAGCAGTTAATAGTGTAGTCTAGTGTAAACACTACATCTCACCACCTGCACTGAGACATGCACAGTGTTAGAAGATGGTGTTCAGATGAAGGGCAGATAAATGCTCTGAAAGTGTGCTGATATACTTCCATGTCAGTTTCAGTTCCGTCTGTGCAGCTTAAAAAGCCCCAGCTACAGGGGTGAGCAACAGTGAGCAGTGGTTGAACAAATAATGACATGCTTTTATGAAAAATTGATTTAATCCTTAATTAAAAACAAATAGCTACTATTTTTGTGTGTGTGGTGTGATTAACCAACCTGTGTCTTACTTCAGTAGTCTCCTCTAGTGAAGCTTTTTTCTTCTCTGGCTCCCCATCTTCTTCTCGCCCCTATTAAAATATCATTACATCATCATTGAAATAAACTAAATATACTATACAGTATTCACACAGTACAAACATCACTCTGTCATCAATGCACTAACCAGAAACAGCAGAGATTAACACTGTATTCTTTCATAAAGAATCACTGAATTATTAAAGAAATATTGACAACGGCAAAAAGATTCATATTTTTAAAGAATGAACCTATGCATCAACCCATTTCAGTGATCTGGCACAGTAAAGGTATATGCACTAGACTAACATTTGCATAGGAAAACAAAATAATCAAACATCTATTTTTTATGTCGGCCCATGATTTGAGACTCTACCCTAACCCTTTAACCACTTCATTTAATCGAGGCACACAGGTAAAAATTTTAATGTTAATGTTTTGTCATACGATATAGTGGATAAGATAGGCTAATTATGAGCCAGAGCGTATTCGTTATGTGCTTTCATGGCGGTTTGCATTTGCAGTTTTCTTATTGTTATTAATGAAGTGTCTATTGCCGATATATATTCCTATTGTCTGATTGGCCTGGCCCAGAGGTAGAACTTTGAGAACTGGGCCTAATAATTTAGGAAAATCAGATCACTATTTGCTCTAGGATTAGCTGCAACCACAGAAAAAGTAAACATGCAACCTGAACAACCACAGCATTTCAGACTATGGCCTACATTGAACTATCCCCATATAAACAACGGAAACAAAAGATGACATAGGCTTGCAGAAATTCAGAAAAAAATTATATTGACCCCAAGTGAAAAGTGGTAACAAAGGATACCGAACCCCTCCCATCGTACATTTTCCTGAAGAGGCTTCCTGTTCACCTGCTAGAACAATTCGGGGGACTGACTCATTCTTGAAGTGCAGTACAAAAGGAAAACAACCCCTCAGCTTCAGGAATGTCAACAACCCTTTATCAAATATTGCTAGGCAAGGCAGTATGTCTCTGTTTAACACCAGCATAGTGAAAACACATTTTGGTCTGAGTGCCAAAACAGTGGCTTACACATTGAACTGGGTTTCCGGTTGGAGGAAGAATTCATATGCAGAACTGTAAAGATAGATGTGGATGTCATAGTGGAGCAGAACAACTGTGCAATGTTTAAATGGTTCAAAACAGACAGCCGCCCCGGCCAAGGAACAACTGACACTCTGGTGCAACAACCTGTTCGGTCGAGTAGAATATGTGGGTCAAGACTAAAGGTGTGTGTTGATATGGAATTTTGATAGTACAACTGGGTAAAATTAGCTCAGCATACAATGTGATCTTTTTTTTCAAGTATTATTTTTTTTTGGCCTTTATGCCTTTGTTTGACAGAGAGATAGCTGGAGATAGAAAGGGGGGCAGAGAGAGGGGCTGACATGCAGCAAAGGGCCGCAGGTTGGACTCGAACCCAGGCCGCTGCGTATATGGGTCGCTAGCTCTACCAACTGAGCCAACCGGGAGCCTACAATGTGATCTTGATAATAGCAGATTAGGCTATGTGCTCTCAAACACATCTTACACATACCTTACATTATATTGTACAGTGTGTGGTAGTGGCAACAGAGGTGTGCTGTTATTTTGTCATGTTTCAACTTAAAACCTTTTTCCCCCCTAGATTCTGATTAGTCTGCACCTTTCAGGCACCTGATGTGTCTCTAAACTTCATTCAAATCCTCTTTTACTGCAGTAAAAAAGTTTTTTGCTTCTGTCTTTTGAGTTGAAGGTTCCTCCACCTTCCAACATAATAAGTGTGTTTTTAATGGCATGCAACAGTGTCCAGTTTACAACTGTGTGGCACAGGAGGGTCTTTCTCTTGTGTTCAATTTTGGTGGCTGAGAAACTAAAACTATCTTCTAACTAACATAGGACCTCTTGCATTTTAATAAAATATTTATTGTTACATCAATTCTTCTCCCATCAATAATTCAGGGATTTGATAAAAGTAAATGGCTGTAAAAAATGTTGAACACAATTATTTTCCTCATTTTCAAAGAGTTCAACGCAAATAATTAAATTAAATACAAAGAAAATGAAATAACACTCAGTTCCTTCACATTGTGGCACTGATGTCAAATGTATCGCCTCTTCCATGACTGAAGTCAGGTCGCACTGTGTCAATGAGTGAAACATATTTATTCTTCCTAGTTAGGTATTGGAGATAAATATTAGGTAGGTAAATATTGTAGATGTTTAAGTTGATGAACATCCCGCCATGGTTAAGCATGTGCAGAAAACAACTAAAAACAAGCTTATTTAATGCACTACATTTGTGAAAAAAATTGTAATATAGATGTTATATTATTCTGAAACGGTCTGATTAGTTTCCTAACATCCTCAGACTTTTTATCATTTATAGGAATCCCCCAATTTCCCCTTTTGAAAAACATCTCTCTGTTCTATTATATTTTTATATAAAGACCTTCATGGTGTATATATCTGATATATATATATATATCAGAGAAACAGTGCTTTTGTCGAGATATGCATGCTTTCACTGTGAAGCAGCAGAGATCCTTCCTTAAAGAGAGGATCAAAGCTCTCATCCCTACAGCCACCAACTATCCTGTACCTCTGTTTGTCAGCGAGATATTGAGGCCCCATCTGTTAAATGCATTGCTGAACATCAACATTTCTTAAATCCAGTTATATATTATATTATATTATACTATAGTATTTCCAAATTATCTATACATTTACTGTGACTGACTGAATGTCGTAGCTGACTATTACTGTGAAGCTGATCATATTCAGGTGCTTTTTTATTGTCGTGGCAATTAAAAACAACGTTATAAACACTGTGCATGTACAAAATAGAGGGTTGATATCAACTTTGATACAAGACTAGAAGTTTGTTATTGTCTCGATAGAAGTCCACACATGTTAGCTTAGGAAATTAGCTGCCCAGGAAACCCACAGAAACAATAACTACAAAAGCACAATACCAAGTAAAATATTTGACTTATCTGGAGCTAAATGAAATATCAAAACATACATCTTCTCACAGCACAACAACAAAGCCACGAGCCAAGTTTATGAATGATTTGCTAACTACATGAAAATGCTAACGTTAGCTCCAAGCTAAGTTAGCTTACGTTAGCTCACTGACTAAATGAAGCGTTTCTTACTTGCTCTGTTGAATTTATCACAAACCAGACATCACAAGACAGGACACTTACGTGAATTTTTTTATCTCTTAGTGCTTTTAGCCTCTCTTTTCTCTTCAGGGCCTGCTCCTGTAGTGACCCCACATTTTTCTCCATGTTTATCTCTACGCGCCGCTCAACTCTCTCTGACATCCATTGGTTGTCCTCCTGACTGAGGCTCTACAAACGACCGTCGAGCACATCGATTACAGTGGCCTGCCTGGTCATGTGATATTATTTTGTTTTGTTGTCAAATTTCTTCAGATTCATTAAATAGATTGATTGATTAATTAATTAATTAATTGAACTGGAAACATTATTATTATTAATAAAAGACAAACATAATGACATTTTCCAACCTTTAAACACATACCAGGTTCTCTGTTGGAGGCATTAACACATACTTGAATTGATTTAACTTTCAGTTGCTTACAGGCTAATTTTTCCTAGTTAAACCCACCTATGGACTATTAACAGACCTTTACATTAAGGGAAATACATAGGACAGACTTGCACACTGTCCCGCCTGTTGATGTCACACTGTCAGGTCCTGGTTAGGAATGTAGGCCATTGCCATGGTAATACAGCTGCCTCGCGCTTCACTCTGTCCATCCTCCTAATGACCAACATTAGTGTGTGATAACATAAACTTGGTTGTGTTAAAGATGCTAACAAGGTTAAAGATCATGACCCTAATAAATCAATAAATTACCCATTTGTAATAATAGCCTTCATGTCGGTGGCCCAGCGAGAGACAAATTAACTTGTGGTGTAGATTGGCCTACCATAGCAGATAAGGGAAAAGTTCTCTATGATGAAAACTATCCTCTCAGTACAACAGACACACCACTTGTCTAAAGAAAAAGTGTGTTTTCTCTTCTTTAGTACACCTTTGAGCAACTTTACATACCAAAAACATATGATGAACTCATAAAATGTGTATAAAACAGTGTTATTAGATAATTTCAATAATTTATTAAAACAAATATAACTGTTTATACTCAGCATGTATGTTTCAAGAATAATAATGTTTTTTTTTTTTTTGAACTGAAATGTATGCTTCATTTTCAGATAAATGTGTAAGCTGTTGCCAGACCATGTAGGTTTACAGTATGGAGTTAGACCAAACACCATCAGGACAACTTCAAACATCCAAATACTTCTTATAGGTGAATTTATTTTCAAAGATACATTTTCAGTGAGGAAGTATTTTATGTATATTTGTACACAATTCCACACTTTTACTGTTGTAATATTTTAAATATACTATATATTCTCATATTATACTGTCAGTAGTATTGATGTAGCACTCATTTTACTAAATTAGGTCTCAGTGTTTACAGGATTATTGATCAGCAGTCTTCATCAGGAATATAATAAAATGGTGTAATATAATTACTTATTACAGCCTACTAAGGCACCAGGAACCATCATAAGTAGCTGTTAGAGTCTGAAGTTCAGTCCTGTGTTTGTCTATGTCATGTGCAAAGTGAAAGCTTCATCCTCAGTCTAAAGACACTGCATAACAAAAGATTTTTATTCAGACATCTATGCAAGAGTGTATTAACGTCGTGTTTGTCTATTTTGATGATTACATGTATGTAGCTAGACTCCAAGAGGAGTGCATGAGGAGGCTGTGTCAGTGTGTTTATGTGTGTGTGTGTGTGTGTGTGTGTGTGTGTGTGTGTGTGTGTCTTTAAGAATATCAGCCTACCTGTGAGCAGGATCTACAATCAACTCTTCACTGCATTTCTCGCCTTGTTAATAGTCAGACACTAGTTGATGGTAATTTGCTCCCGCTCATCACACATGACACAGGACTGTACACCTCTGCTGACTGAATCCATACAGCCAGGGTAGTCATTTCGTGGTCTTGTAGGGGATGGCATCTGTCGCTTCCGTGGGAACTCTCTCCAATAGGAATCACACAGCAACAAGCTCGCTTTAAATGCGGACATGGGTGTTTCTCCAGGCATGCATTTCCACGCATTTTTGTTCCTGGCTTTACAATTCCGACAGTGATCGCCACATTTAACACCGTCATGTTTTAGCTTTTCTCATGCCACTCTGATAACTTTACGTGCCAAGACTTTTGTGTGGATTATTACGCCTGAATTTGCAGGAATGGTTCACAGGAGCGTGCCGCGTCCTCCTGCGTTTAGGAAACAACTTCAGACAGCTCCGGCTTTGACCATGCTCACCACCAGTTTCATGATTTATTAAAAAAAAACAAAAAAAAAAACAACAACAACAAAAAAAAGAGGGTGATAATGAGCAACCACAAGGGCGGCGGGATGGCATCGAAGGAACGGCTGTATGAGCTGTGGATGTTATATTACACAAAGGTGAGTGCAAGTGCGGAAGACCTGACGGTGACACCTGTTGTTGCAGCAGGTCTGGACTGCCTGAAGTTTCTAACATGAAGCCGATAAACACATGATCGCAGGCTGTGTGATCTGTGCCGTGTTGTTGTATTCGGTTTTAATGAGGAAGTCGTCTCCTTTCTGCCTGTTTGTATTGTTGCTGTTTTATTTACCTAGAGGTTGAGGCTGCCCTGCGCACACTGGAGGAGGATATCATGGCATATCATATGACTGTGTAACTGAGACATTTAACTTATTGAAAGCAGCGAGTAATAATGGTATTTGAAGCAGATTAACCGTCTTAATGGAGTGTGTTTGCTCCTGTACCTGTCATGCAGGTGTCACTGAGGCTACTTCCTGTTCCTGTTTGTCCCTGCCTCTCTTCCTTAGTTAAGCACATTTAAACCATAATGGGATTAATATAGGTATGGAGTTTTATTATTCAGGGAAAGAGCTTATTGTCACTTATCACCTGGAGCACATGTTTTTGACTTGGTGCCAGCAGCCCATTGACTATTCTCTTATATTTCAAATATTAGAAACAATATTGGTGTAAAAACCTAACCTAATTTTGCACCATCCTAAATCGAGTGTCACATTTTTTTGTGAGGTATTTTGGTCTCAAATGTTGCTCCCTGTGGGTGTGACTGCAGCTCATTCCTTTGGTTGTCCAGTAATAAGGTGTTTATATCTTGGTAATAATTTTGGAAACAAAGGAATAGCAAAATGATATTGCACATGCCTTCATGTCATGTCTCCTCTTAAAGGAGAAACAAAGTTGGCTGTGAATAAATTAAGTATTACTATTTAATGTGTTTGCAATCTGCTTCCATGCCTGAGGTCAGAGAAAACAAGATGAGACTTCTTTCCAAGTTTGCCTGCACTGTATGTTCACTGTGGGGCATTGAGACTCCTCCTTTATCATCACAGTGGATCTAAAGAGCTAGTTTCTTGACAAAGATAATAGCTAGTCATAGAGTAGGGCAGTTTTCATTACCTATCTCTATTGAATTTTGGTTTAATTTAGGACTGGACTTAATCCCTACTTGGAAACCAGCCAGAGAATTTAAACAGGGCAGAAGTCAATGCTGGAATAATTGCAAAAAAAGCTGGAAGCGCATCCCTGACACAAGTGAGCAAGAAGTGTATCACCTCTTGTGGTCACTTTGGCCACATCCCAGAGGAAGTGTGTTTGTAATCCAGCCTTTTACTTGTCCTCTGGGCTGCTGCTCTATGAATAACTGTAGAACTGTCCTGGTTATGCCAGTCTTTAACACACAAAACAAGTTGGAAGCACTGTCATAAAAATCCACTGTTAGAAAGAGTCATTGGTGTGTGTGTGTGTGTGGGTGTGTGTGTGTGTGCTTGTGTGCGTGTGCACCCTGAATGTGACTTTGACAGCTGCCTCTTGGCTCTCAGTTAGTTGTCTTGAGTTGCCATCAAGCCTAAAGAAACAACGTTTATAATTCAGATTTCTCACCAGAGAATGACGCACAGACTGAGATCTGAGCTTTCTTGGAAGTAGATTTTGCATGTGTGCAAATGACCTGCCCTTATTGCCTAGCTGCAATGAGGTAAAGGATTTGATTGAGCACAGTATTAAACGTCACCACCTTATGTGACTCAGAAGGACACAATAGACTGCAGAAAGGCAGCAGAACCACTTCAGAAAACAATCACTTGCCTCTCCTATACACATCAACATGCCACTGTGTGTCATGGTTTTGTTGTCTGCCTGTTTGTCAAGTTGGAACAGACAATATCTTTTTTTAAACTGGACCAGTCCCATCTCCAGCTCGTAGGCCTTGTTGTTATTTGTCACACATAAAATAAAATTTGACTATTGCAAATAGGTCGAATAGTACATGGGACCTGAGCTCTATTTAATAGGCTTTTTGTTAGTGCTGTAAACAAGCCTTTACTTACTAGTGGCGATGGCCTTGCACTGTCTGTTTGAGTCCCAACAAACACACCCCTGCAGCTGTCTTTACAGCCTGTAGCAGATCTGAATTTCAGTCTGTAAATATTTCAGTCTTGTGTGTCTCTGCTGATGACACCATTTTCCTCAGACTTATTCTTATATTTTTTCAAGGTTTTTCTGCTTTAATCAGTCCCTGTATGCAAGGGAAATCCTGAAAGCATCAGTGCATGTTCGATTACATAATGGGAGTTTACAGTATATAATTAATCTGTAATAATACTAACAATTGATGTTAATGTGTTTAAGGACATTCTGATCACAGCCATGGCTCTGTATTTGCAATAAGAAAACAAAACTTGTTCGGGCCTGTCTGTTATAAAGGAGCTCTGCTTCCTTCAATTGTGCAAGAAATCACACGCCCCTCGCAAGACTTTCAGATCAGCTGATGTTCAGGACTGATGTAAAATGTTGAAAAGGCATTGCGATATAGCAATGTCCTGCTCTAAAGTTGATGAATGAGATATTTTCTGTACAAATGACCAAAGAAACAGGAAGGCAATGATGGATCAATTGAAGATTTTCTGGATCACATCTCCTGTTATATACTAGAGAGTTGATTATTTGGTCACGTTATATGACCATAGGCATGCATGAATTTCATCTCATGCACTAGATCTATAAACAATTGTATTGACAATATAAACATACAATGTTTATTTACTGCTTCTTAGTTATCAGGTTTTTGCAGTTTTGAGAGCTTGTTAAGCCAAGTGATGCTCAGTGAAAAATCAAGAACTTCATACAATGAACAGAACATTGTTCCCACTTCATTTGCTAAAGTTAAAAGTCATCTTACTGGCACAATTTCAGAGCTCCATATCTCATATCTGAGAATGTGTTTCAGACCATCATCATATGCTCATGCCTGGCAGATATGGACGTACAAACAGTCTGATCTAATCACTGAGGGGAGTAGCATAACTTGTCAGATCGTGTCTGAAGACACCCAAAAGTGTATTGTTTTTGGATGTGCTTGTTCCTTTCCTCAAGTCATAATACAGTAATACTGTTTGACAACCGTTTAATCCGTTTTGTTTCATTACATGCCAGTTGTAGGGGTGCAACTAACTTAATGGGTCACTTTTAGGATTTGTTTTGCCATGAACTAATAGGCAATTTAGTTCAAAACTGTGACCCATTTACTGACAAAGTGTTGGTAATAAGTTATCAGAGCCTTAAGTTAGGACTCCCTGTTGCCTTATTAATTTTACAGTTATACAAAACAGAAAAAGACATTCAACCATATGTCATATTTGCAGCAGTATTTGGTATTTTAATTTAATACATTTAGAATAAAAGTTAAATAGTCCTGGATTCTTTTTCTGTTAATCATTAATCAGTGTCAATGAACTTCTTAAATAAGCTGGTAGAAGGTTTTTGTAAAAGCACTACTGTACTATTTTGATAGTCAATTAATCATTTATCAAAAAATAAAATATCAAACAATCCCTAGCTCCTGCTTCTCAGCTGTGAGAATTGGCTGTTTTTCTTCATCTTATCTGAAAGTAAATAGATAATTTGGGGGCTTTTGGACTGTTAATTAGACAAGACAAGCCATTTGAATTTGGGCTTTTCAGTCACAGTTTCAGGGTAAGCGGGGTATGACCTCGGCGATGCAGCAAGAAAGCATTTATGAACACTGAGATCATGTGGTCAACACGTACTGCCTTGTGATAACTGACCCAAGACACAATAAAACTACAGACCTTTTAGATGTCATAATTCTGGATGAAAGTGAGAAAGGAAGAAGCATCTTTTCCATCCGCTTAGGAACAAGCTGCTGCAGTTGCAAGCTGCTGAAAAATAGAGTGTGATTATCCTGTGATCATTAGCTTGAGAGACTATTGGACAGACTAATTAAAGCCTGAAGTGGCAGAAATGGACCACAGTGACAACCCAACTGCCACCCATCCACACAGCTGTGAAACCACCTCCTCTGCTCGCTGTGGAGAGAGAGCGAGAGAACATGTCACATTTCCTGGCATTTGTCACCACGCCGTCAGTCACCCTATTGTCTCAATTACTGATCATGCTATGATTCATGTCAATATACCATGCTGAGCGATGTCGAAACAACAACCATCCCTGCAGTCCCTGAGCCCTGCCATTGAACTCCCTTGTGTGCCTCGATCTCCCCTGTTTACCAACAGAGGGGCTAACCAGGAAAATCAAAGTGCTCTTTGCTTTTACTTGTGCAGGAAGCTGGAGCGAAGCAGAATGCCAAGCAGCAGAGAGAGGCACAGCTGCTTGGCCATGTGCAGAGAAAACAGAGATAAATGACACGGTTTATAGGGTTTGGTACCTCATGGTTGGTTTGTGTCATCTGTTCTGCTAATAGTGTCTCTTTTTTTTGCAAACACGTCAAACAAATCCTTCGGCTGGTTGCTCTGGGCGATGATGAGGGAAAGGATTTGATAAAGCTGAAAGTGTATTTGTTGAGAGGTGCCGATCAATAGTAATTTTGTAAGGGATGATTTTTAGGAATGGGTGCAGACATAAAGCAGGGCTCTATCAGGTGTCTGAACCAATTTTGCTGCCAAACAAACCTTAAGGTATTTCCCCTGGTTTTACTTCTCTTTACCAAACCAGATTCACTTCCTATATGTGATCATCATTTTTTTTTATTATGCACTAAAAATCTACCTGTTGCAGTTACACCCAAGTAAATGTGCTCTACGGGGAACAGAAAAAATCCTACTTCCTTTCCCATACAACTAGAAAGAAAAGCATTTAAGAAATAAAGGCTGTCATCATACAGAGTTGTAAACTTATACATACAAAATTGTGTCAGTTAACCGTTGTTACTGCATTTCGCTGTACAATGAAAAGTCCTGTAGACAGAATTAGAATTGATGACGTATCCTGTGCAGGGTATCGTCATCAACAACAGTGTCATAAAACAACCTATTATTTTATTATGAGTAATGTTCCGCTATTGTATATTTAATTGGCAACTAAAACAAAGTTGTAGGGTGCTGCAAAGATCTATCCATGTCTTTGCCTCTCCTACTCAAGTTTCTAATACCTGATTGTCCAGATGTTGGAGGCACAAAACAATAGGTTAAGTTCACAGTTTCCTGTTTTCACAGAGCACATGCTCTGAGATTGATGAGATTATATACAGCATGTGTTCAATTAACAGCATTTTGTTATTATTACTTAACTAGTTTGATAATCAAATTGTATATCTTTGTATATAAAACATACACTGGCTGTGTGGAAATACAATATGCCTACTATTATGACATTCATTGCTTCATCACATCACATTTAAGTTTGTTTGTGCTCTTACACAACTCAGTCAGTGAAAATATATTCCAACAGAGAAAGGTGAATTTCACTGTTTCTCCTGTGACATCTTGCTGTTGTGTTAAATTAAGAAAGTGTAAAAGCTGTCCCCAGTGCTTCATTGTTGCTCTGGGAAATTTTTATAGAGGCCTGCCTCATATCTGCACACAGCTAGCAGTAGAGCCAAAAGAGGAAGGGGTTTGACGAGGAGGCAGTGTATGAAGGAAATAAGCTTCAGTTAAAGTGACATGTCATTTCCTGGTTTGCTGGCTTGACATTGGAAGACAAGAAAGAAGCAAGTCAGACGTTGGTGCTGGTTAGGAGTGATGTGCAGCTTCTGAGCTGCTGGCTGAGGACTACACTGAAGGCTCATCTGAGACTGGGTTCGCAAGAACCTGGCACCCTGCTCAGCCACATACAATGAGAGATGGACTGGCTCATAAGTCAATGCCAGTTGGTAATGTACATTTAACATTAATGCAGCATTAGAAAAGACATGGTTACACAATGTGTTCAGAGTTAGCTGCATTAGATTTCCATGTTTCTTTAGTAGAGGAACTGTGAATATTAGCTACACATATAGTTACATTGTGTATGTTGGAGCTCTGTACTTGTAAGTGTTTGAAATGGTGCAGCCTTTAAAGTAACCAACATCAACTGAAGCATACATTTGCTTGTTGGCTAAGGGGAAGTACCTGAGTGATTGTTATACCATGTGCTGTTTACTGTGCTGTATGTTATTTGTGTACAGTGAGTCAGTCAGTCTGAAACAGCTCACACTGCCTGCCCTGCAGAGGCTGCCTCAAAAATCAGCAGCGGTGGCTGCGTGCATACTCGGCTCATAAAAATGTTCAGGTTGTTCCATCACAAAGTACATCAAGGAACATTTCTAGATGTCCTGTGTTTTGCAATTTGATTTTTGAAACACTGGATTCCCACGAATAGCACCACTCGAATCGTTAGGACTTAATAATGACCATTTGGATTTATACAAGATTAATTCAGAAGTATTTAGTTTAAAGTTGTTTCTCTGGTGACCTGTGCTCTTCATTTGTGTTCATTAGTCTGTGTGAGATTGAGAGACTGATGTGAGGAGGGAAGAGTGGCAGGATATGTTGCACTGCAGAGGCTGATTAAAGCTGAGATAACGACTGTTTGTATGTAAACACCCGCAGCTTGTACAACTGAAACCATCTTCAATTATATTATAATGATGCAATAATGCAGTGATGTCTTCTTTAAGACAATGCTTACAGTGATGGTTGTTCTTGTATGTTAACTGGCTACTGAGGATACTAAAGCTTATACTGGTGGACATAAAAGAAAGGAACATGTTGATTTTGTTTCTTTAAACCTCCCTGTTTTGAAAAAGGAAAGAATTGGCTCATGTGTTCCTCTCTGTGAGTTACATCTCTTTGCAACATCCTGTTACAAAAACAGGTCATATGGTTTTATCAGTGCCATGTTTTCAGCCACTGAAAATTCACTTAACCCTTTTAGTAGTACAACAACTGAGCACAAGCAAAGAGCATATTCCACTGATATATTGATGTATACATACAGAGTTGTGTACAACACACTGTGTGCCTGGAGTACCTGAATGCGACTTTATTGCCTCACATGTTCTTTCCTCCCTCTTGCAGAAAGATGTGAGCTATCTGCAGCAGTGGTTGGAGGCGTTTGTGGCGTCCTTTGAGAGGCTCATTGATGTGCAGTCACTGGAGCCTCGAAGGTGAGTAGTAACAATTATTTATTTTACACAAGCTACATAGCCAGAAGCTCCCACCGGTTTCTGTTCCCCAAAGCAGGATGAACTTTGTCCCTCTGTAGAGATACCATTTTGACATGTTTATGTTATGTGTAAACGCAACCGCTATTACAACGCCCTTTGCCTCTTTGCTACTGCCTCCCCTCCTCATTCCCACATCTCTACACGCCCTCCTCTCCCATCTCCCAGGCTGGAGGAGTGCAGCTCGGAGGTGCCCTTGCTCCCCAGGGAGGTCCTGGTGTTCCTCAGAACCCAGCTAAGTGACAGTACGGTGCACCTCTCCGCCATCACTGAGCACAACAGCAGCACCCCACACCCCCTGCTCCTCATCAAGTTCTTCATCATTGTCTGCAGGTGAGGGCCCAGCTTGCGGTGTATATGCTTCATCATCATGATCATGGATGTGTTATATAGTGGAACTGTAACTAATTAATTGAAGTATTGTTGTCATGATAATAAGCAGCAGACAACAAGTTAGTTGTGGAGTACATTTCCAGTCACAAGTCATTTAGAATTTCTTCAGGTCCAGTGTGTAACATTTAGCAGGATCCATTGGTAAAAATGGAATATAATATTCAAAGGTATGTTTTCATGAGTGTATAAACACCAGAAAATAAGAATTGTTGCATTTTTTAACCTTAGAAGGAGCTGTTTTTATTTACAGAGGGAGCAGGTTCAACATGGCAGCAGAGGCAACCATGTTGAACCGCCATGTTTCTACAGTAGCCCAGAACTGACAAACAAAACCCTGACTCCAGATAGGGTCTCTCCCGAGTTCTGCGGGCACCGTAGTTTCTCTTACACACTCGGTGTTACACACAGCTCCTTTAAGTTGTGGGAGTACTACTAAAATTATTTTTGTAAATAAATATTTACCTGAGTTGAAGTAATGTACACAATTTCCCTCATATTTTATATACCTCATCAATTTCCTGTATTAATTATTAAATCTGTACACATAACAAAAGAGTCAAACTTTTCCAGAAATTCAGATGCATATTGGGCAAAGCAGCTGCAACTCAGTGTCAGGAAGTTGTCCCTTAAAATCAGTGTGTTAACTAAGATGGCCATATTGGGTAAACATCAGGCAGATTTTCTTAACACTCAATTTCATGAATTTCTCTGTACTTCTAGGAATATGGAGAACATCGACCCGGACAAGACCCCTGGTTTTGTTTTCGAAACCATCAAGCTTTTGAATGTCTGTTTGGACCAGGTAAGGCAATTATAAACAGTGATTTATGACAAAACTTGGCCCCACTGTATGCTCAGTACATCGTGCATGTAAAGATTATTTAGTGCCATTTTAGCCAAACTGTGTAACAGAGTAACAGAACTAGTTTACAGTGACAAGGGAAGTGGGTGTGTAGCTGTCCCTCTATTCAGTGAACTGGAATGTGTTGTATTTGTTGCATGTTAAACGAGTGCCAAAAACAGGTGTATCTGTGCTGAGGATGAGTTACACATGAATGTGTGTCTCAGCTTTTATTTTGTACATGTTCATCAGCTAAAGACGGGACAAGGGGAGCAGTCGTCTCTGCAGCTGGTTGTGCAGTATGGACTTGTGCTCTGTGAAAGTCTGTTTGACCCTTATCAGACATGGAGGAGACGCCTGGCTGGGTGAGTGTGTGCTGCTTCACCCATGAGATTGCCTGTGTGAATGTGTGGGAGGTGGAATTTAGCCACACAAAGACCAAAAGACTTGTTGTATGCATTTAACATCTTGCCCAACCTTTTGTGATGTGTTACACCCTGCCTTGTTGACCTTAGGCCTTGAAGTCAAGCCTCATTAGTGCTAGCAGTATTAGTGGCAGTCGCTGACTGACTAGGTATGATGTGAGTGCAAGTGTGGTGACTCGAGGCTTTGTGTGTTGCAGGGAGGAGGTGAGCTTGCTGGAAAGGAACAAGTATAAGTTCTCCCCGCTGGCCTTGCCAGAGGAGCTGCCTGCTCTCTTCCATGGTGAGACAACTCCCTACCGTCCGCTCTACCACTCTGATCTCTGTCAGACCTCACATACCACAAGAATCAAACTGTTCTCACCGCTGCCCAAACACAGCTTAGAAATGGCATCTTTGACTTGAAAAATGGTGACCTTTCGTTTTCTCCAAATCTCCTTGTAACTCATCCTTGCTCTACTGGTCAGCATTTTAGGTTTGGGATAAAAACGTAATTATTCAGCATCAAAATTATCAGGTTATCAGTCCAAGCATTTCTAATTATAGAAGCCCATTTGATCAGTGAGCACTAATCTATAAGCCATGTGAGAAATCTCAGCCTGGACAAGTTTCAGTATGTCCAAACTCTAGGAGGATTATACCGTAATAGCATGCTTTAATTAGAAACATTAAGAGGTAATTGTGTAATACCTTGCCAATTAGCAAGGCTCTAGCTTTTCTTTTTGATGGAACTCTGAACTTTCAGTAGAGGCATTGCAGGGGAATGTTTGTAATGTATGTTTGTAATAATGCTTATTATTTATATATCATATATTTAATTATTTTACTTTATTTTTTAGTGGCAAAGAAGTGGAAAGAAATCTTGACAAGATAAAAACAGAAAATGTGTACTTTATATGCATGCTAAATATGACAGCACTGTGTTAATGTTTTCTGCACTGTGGTTAAGGGAATGCTGGTCTTGCATAACATTGTTTCTTGGCTTGAACACATTCACAGAAAGTCTCCAGGAAAGTGAGAAGATCCCAGAGCTCCTCACGCTCAGATTGGTCCATCTCCAGGGTGCTGTCATCAGTGGAGGAAAGGTCTGCTGCCCTATCTGTTGTCTTCTATGTTATTTTATTTAGTTAAATTTTTTACAGTTCTCTGGTATCTGTGAAGACACTACAAGTGCAAATTAAAACTGATTAAAGAAAAGTCACTTTGTCTGTACTTTTCCAGAAGAATGGCCTTCTCTCCATCACCCCTCACTCTGTTGAGGACCTGTTCTCTGTTCTGCGAGCGTGGTGCTGCCGGACCTTCACCGAACCCAAGGCCATGGGGCTCCCACGGTTGACCTTGCAGTGCCTGACTGCGATGATCCACCTCCTGCACTCCAGCAGCCCTGCAGAGCGGCACGTGGAGATCAGAACAATACTGGAGAGCTTCTTCCAGCTCCTCAACTGGAACCGTCCGCTTAGCAGTGACCAGCAAGACAGGCTGACCTGGGAAGAGAGCCTGATCTCCCTCCAGAGCCAAATGCTAAGTAAGAGCATGTCCGCTAGGTCTCATGTCTATCTGAGTAGAAAGCATTCCTTTTCTATCGCTCTCAATCAGTATGGAGGCCAAATAATTGATTTCCCCGGTGTCTTATAAATAATATGACTCAACATCCTCATTGTTGCCAATTTTAGCCGCTGTTCCTGAAATTCTGCAGTGCTCTGACAGACCAGTCCTGCAGGCTGTGTTCCTCAACAACAACTGCTTTGAACACATCCTTAGGCTCATTCAGAACAGCAAGGTCAGACCCCTGTCCATCTAAAATGTGTCTGTCTGCCCTGTCAGCTCTTCATTTCAGTCCTTCGCCTCTCAGTCTGTCACCTTTTTTTTATTTATGTCATGCCAGTTTCCTCTTATATATGCTTGAATGTCACATCTGCTGTCTAACCTCTGTTTGGTCAATGTAAAATACCACAAATGTATATGCTTCCATCTTATGTTTTGCCCACACGACTGCAACAGATGTGTCCTCCATTACCTCTCACAAATGACTTTTTTGTCTAATTGTCTGTCTCTTTGTGTTGTGTGTGTGTGTGTGTGTGTGTGTGTGTGTGTGTGTGTGCTGTGTGTGTATGTGTGGGTGTGTGTATGTTTGTACCTGCGTGTGTAGCTCTTTCAGAGCAACAGGCGTAGGCCGGAGCGTGAGGTTAACTGTGACCTCACTACATGTTTACTCACAGAGGTCGAAGTGGACCAGGTACTTTCCCCCACTTGGTGTTGATATTGGTCTGTCAGCAGGAAACTCAGCCTTCTCTCCACTCGTTAACAGCTCTGAGCTTTTTAAACAGGAAGCTTTAGACAGGAAGTCTGGCTCACACTCATTTGTAAATAAAGCAGGTAGCGCAGCTATACATGATAATTGTCTGGAGTTCCCTTTTTATCTGTCCATCAGGAATGCATGTTACTTACAGCCTATGTTATATGTGATTACCTTTATTTTGGGGCTACTGTTTTACTTGAATCTATCTTGAAATACACTAAAGGAAAAGCTGAAGTTATCTTTGTGCACGTTGAAAAGTTAGTTAGTTAAGAATTAGATTATCAACTGGGGGATTAGTCTTTGCTTGTGTAGGAGTGTTGATTTATATCACATTCATAATTAGAGGCTGAATTCCCTGTTGACAACACTGGGCAAGAAGAGCATGCTGTATGTTTCATAGTGCATGAAAGGTTTGTTTTGCAATGCATGTCTTTCCTTCTTTTCCTTGTATTTTTGCTGTTCTGTCGTGTGACCGGTTGTGCTTGTATGAAGGACTTGGCTCTTGTCCTCGGGTTTGATGTTTCCTAATTTCCAGCAATAGTTGGGGGTTGCCTCAGTCTTTTTTTGGTGGTTGGCTTTGGTTTTTGCATGCTGCGACCTATCAGTCATCGACAAAGAGGCGATTGTTTAGTGACTGGTACAGCAGTTCCCTTACTTTGAGCCGGTCTGCTCCAATAATTGTGGTGTGGAAAAAAAATGCTGTACTTCCTCTTGCATTTACCAGATTATCAGAACAAAAATCCCATCATTTCTTTCATTTGGTGAAAGATTTTTATTTTTGGTCACATGGACCTTTTGGGGCTTTTGGTGTCAAATCCATCATCATGAGAACATTTTTAGTTCTGCAATGCCACAATCAACTGTACCTCCTTATTTTGATGTAGGTTTGGGAGAAAGGAGCAGACAGTATTACAGTCCATGCTTTAGGAGTCCTCACAGCTATAATGAGTAACTCACCCTCTGCTAAGGTAAGGCCCTTTGTGATTGTTTATGGCCAAATCACATATCCCTCATACTTCTGCACATATATTATAAAGCATACTGTACTATCATGCCTATAATGGCAGCAAACATTATGAGTGGTGAGGAATGCTGTTTTCCGTTCATTTAAGAAATGTCATTGTATTCCCTTCCAATGTATGGAAGTGTGCCAAGTAGTTATCCCCTGTGGAGCAGCTTTCTCCAGCCTATTTCTGTCTCCGTCCCCCTCAGGAGGTTTTCAAGGAGAGGATTGGCTACTCCCAGCTATTTGATGTGCTAAAGAGTCAAGGTCAACCCACCAAAAGGCTGCTGCAGGAGCTGATGAACATGGTGAAACACACATTTCCTCATTATCCCCAATGAGTGCTTATTGATGACCTTCTTCCTATCTAAATTGTGTTGCTAGTTGCTAGTCTGTAGCTTATCTTTATTCTCTGCCTTCACTGTTTTGTCCTTCTCTGTCTCCAGGCAGTGGAGGGTGAGCATGCCCACGCCCATCACCTTGGCATTAGTAACGACCAGCCTTTGCTGCTGCTCCTGCAATGGTTGCCTGACCTTTCAGGTCAGAGGGACCTTCAGCTGCTGGTGGCCCAGTGGCTGGCTGCCGTCTGTGGTGGCTCTTTATCCTGTCGCACCGTGGCTGTGGAGGCAGGCATGGTGGGGGCTCTGCTGCAGGTGCTCTCACAGCCCAAGAGTCTGGACAGGCAGTGTGCAGACGCCCTGCTGGGCCTCCTGCAGGACCTTGGATCCCTGTGTCTGAGACCAGAGGAGCTGAAGAACCTGCTCAGATTGCTTAGGGTGGATCAGGACAATGGTGCAGTGGTGGGGAAGGTGCACCCCTACTGCACTCGCGTCATTCGAGTGCTCTCAGCCATGGCAGCCAGAGAAGGCCAAGACAGTGCCTTGCAGTACTTCGATCTTACGCCCCCAATGGCAGGTATTATGGTGCCTACAGTCCAGCGTTGGCCAGGCAGTGGGTTTGCTTTTCATGCTTGGCTCTGCCTCAACATGGAGTTCTCCAACAACCGTAAACCTCCTGTCAACTCTGGCACAGGGACTCAGCACGAAATGGGAAAAGGACCACGCAGGAAACAGCTCTACAGGTAAAGGGACACATTTGTGAAAAGTTGAATTGCAAGGTTTTGAATGTATGGCTGCATTGTTTTATTTTTGACAAAATATGTTTTTTCTTTTGTTAAGTTTCTTCACAGCTAGTGGAACTGGGCTGGAAGCCTTCTTCACCATGGAGGGTGTGCTGGTGGTGGCTGTTTGCACTAAGAAAGACTACATGGCTGTCGCACTGCCTGAGCACCCACTAGCTGACTCATGCTGGGTGAGTGTGGACACAAATAGTACAGCTAGGATTTTGGCCAACATTTGTCCTCATTTAGCCTGTCCTAAATAAAAATAGATTAGATCAAGGAGAAAATCACACATCATTTTCCTAAGTGATGTTTTTTCTGGGCCTGTGACCTTGGAGCATAATTATTGTCGAAAATTGAAAAGTGTGCCTCCTGAAGAGACACGTAGCTGTAGAACTCAATCAATATGATCGAATTAAAGCTGTAAACTGCAAGACTGTTTTGCTCCAGTTTCTCAAAAATGTACCTTTGTACTGTAAGTGCTGAACATCAACCATCAAATTTGCATTTTCCGTTGTTGACACCAGTTGAAATGTGTGTGCTCTCTAATATCATCCTGATCACAGCATTCAGTGGCTATAGTTCACATCCCGGGCCGTCGTCCATTTGGTCAAAACTTGGTCGCCGTCTACATCGATGGCGAGCAACGTATAACTGCTCAGCTGCGCTTTCCATCTTTCAGTGAGGTAACTGAAACTGGTATCTAATGTATCTTGGCCATGGACATGTTATATTATTTCAGAGTAGTTCCTCTCTATCAATTTTAACTTCATCTATTTTTCTCCCACCTGAACCTGACACCTGAAGCCTTTTACCTCCTGCTGCATCGGCTCTGCAGGAAACCGGACCACTACCACCACCATCTCCCCCAACCTGCCCATGTCCTCATCCTCCAACCCATCATCACCTGAGTTTGCTTTCCCCTCCCATGCTCCCTCCCTCATCCGTTCCCAGTCATTCCCAGCCTCCTTTGCGGGAGGCCGCTGGGGGTCTTTTGGAGACTCCCCAGTGCACACCATCCCAGCTGGACTGCAGGACACAGAGTGGGGAACACCAACGTCGCTGGATGGGCTCCTGGGCACCGCCTTCATCTGCCACGAGACTCTGCAGCCGGCACAGACGAGAGCTCTGCATGCTGCAGGTAGGTCACGCTCTGCTACAATGCAAATGCTGCTGTATGCATTATACATCTTGAACATTGAATATTTTTTTTTTGCATAAGCTCTTCCTGAGTTCACAATGTACAGAAAACCAGTAGTAAAGAAAATCAGTTTAAAGAATACTCCTGTGAGTATTTTTTTTTTCACGTACACCAAGTAACGTTTGCATATTTCATGACCTACATTTGTTTCTGCTCTCCATCACAGGCCCCAATCACGTGTCCTTATTCAAAGCGGATGGAGAGTTATCTGATCTCAACAGCAGGCTTCTGCTCTACTACACTCCACAGGTAGACCCACTGAAACTCAGGAAAACTTCCCTGCCACTTACCACACCAGCAAAATATTGTTGTTTACATGTGTGTGTTTTCTTCAGGCCTTCAAGAGCCAGATATGTCTGGACCTGTCGCCCAATCACCAGTATGATGGCAGGCTGACAGGGCACAGGGTAGTGAACTGGGACATCAAGGTTAGACATGAGACATTTTGAATTTTTGTCTATATGAATTTAGCTGTGATAACTCAACTACGGTGACCAAAGTGAGAAGTGAAATATCAGTCAAGGTGTGTCTCCATGTTATCTGCTTATGACATTCATACTAAACTGTAAATGCACTGTACTACTGCTGACTGTTCAATACTTGATTTAAGTTGTTTTTACTATTTTTCTATTGTTGTTTTTCCTGTTGTGCTGCTTCCTTTTTGGTCAAGTCTCCTTTGTTAATTCCATTTCTGATCTAACTATGACTAATGAGGATGGTTGAAAAAACATTGTGTGTATGAATGTTTTTTTCCCCTGCAGGATGTTGTAAATGTGGTAGGAGGGGTAGGGGTTTTGCTGCCCCTGCTCGAGCAGGTATGTGAGTCCGAGCCGATTTACAACGGCGGTCAGGAGATCTCAGACCTGCTGGGACCAGAGCTCACCTCCTCCAGAGGCCCCGCTGCCATGCTGCTGCCACTGAACAAGTCTGCAGGTTAGTTTGTACATGCTTATGTTTAGTACATATTTTCACAGTATTCATTTTTCCTGCACTTTATGTTTGATGCAGAGAGAGTGTCTTCAGGGACTTCAAGGGACTTTTTCATTGTTATAAGAAATGGGTTACTATTTGCATTCCTTACTTTGGAGTGGAGACAGAACTTTTAAATAATTTTGCTAAATTAGTATCATGAATACATTTTCTTTTGCATTATGAGGGTGCCCTGTGTTGTTGTTCCTGGTTCATTTTGTTCAGTTGTAATCCTCAGTGCCTAAGTACTAAATGCTAAATATGATTTTCAGTGCAGTTCAGACTCAGAATATGTTTTTGAATAGAAGTGAGTCAGAGCCTACGGTGCATGATGCAAGGGCAAACAGGAAGTGCTAGACAGTAAGACACAGGCAAATGCTATAATATACAACAGACAAACATAGCAAAGATTGTGAAATCAATGCTTATAAGTTAAATGTCAGGAGCAGCATAGGCATACTGAGTCCTAACAATTGCTTAAAGAATTGCATCTCACTGGCCCAGTGCACATCAGTCTGCATAAATTCTATCATGAGAACAAAATGAGATGGATGGAACAAACTGTCTAGCAGAAGTGAGATAAATACCCTGACATATGACTAATGACTCATCCTGAGAAATGATAATGTCAATAAAGTGCTTTGTAACGTATAAATACGACTGTGGGTAACACAGGAAATCATAAAAGTTGTTTTGCCCTATTTTGTTTTTTCTCAGAGGGCAGACTAGAGAGAAACAGCATCGCTGCCTTCCTGCTGATGGTGAAAAACCTGATTCGTCATCACCCTGTCAATCAGGAGAGCCTGCTGCACTGCCATGGGCCGAGCATCATAGGAGCCATGCTCAGCAAAGTAAGTGCCCTACACTTCAGTTTTCTCCAGCGAGTGGTAACTATTTGCGGGAAGAACTGATTAGCATCTGAAAGTGAATACTTGACCTTTTCCATTGTATTGCTGCCGTGTAATTGCGGTGTAATGAATGGGTATGGTGTTGTTGAAACAGCAGTGGTTCTTTCAGAATGACAGTATCACATGCTTGTGTGGGGGAATTTATGCAGATTTGGTCAAATTGTGTGGACTCTCTCTCTCTGACTGAGAACAAAGGATATCAGCTATAAAATCTGTTGCTTGATAATGTCGTATTGAAATTGAGGAAAATTATATGTAAATTAAAACAAAATCAAAAAATCACATGTCATGCAACAGACATGGAGACCACAGTGAGTTGTGATGTACTGTTGTCACTCCTGTTCTCAGTTCTTGGTGTAATATTTTGCTGATATATTTTCCAAACTGCTTAATAGGTCTCAAGCAAACATAACTAGCCATTTTGTTAGCTTTTTACTGATAAACTGTGAATAAAAATTTTGTAATATTGGGTAGAAGAGCAAATCTGTAGATACACAGTGATGTAGGCAATCTGTGTTTGATGCTGAGCTACATCAGAGACAAAGGTCCATTGCTTTGTGATGGACAAGACAGTTTTTCAGATTTTTGATTGAGAGTGACACAAAAGGTTTCCGAAGCAAGGATCAGTGTTGAGCCCTCTAAAGGTGCAGTAGGTCTAATTCAATACTGCATCTATTGTAGAAATGATTCCCTTGGATTCCTGTTTGAGTTCAGAAGTTTGAACACAGTGTTAATAGATGTGAATCTTTGACGGTTGTAGCCAATCAGGTGTCACGTTTGTGCAGCACAGACGTGCTTTCTTCCTGACAGGATATGTTGAAATATATGACGTTAAGGTGGAGCATCCTGTAAGGAAACGATGTCCTAATAATCACATGGGGTTTCCAGGTTTTACAGTGGCAGAGAGAGTAACACACATACAGTGTATAGTTAACACAAACACTTATACTGTATATGCACTCAGCTGAGTTCAACACTTTATCAGCCTCTAAGTGTTACTAAAAAATAATCTTTACACACAGATAAATCCAAATGAATGGAAACATACTTTAACACAAACACCCCTCCTTTGTGCTTCCTCTACTGCAGGTTCCTGGCAGTATGATGGACATGAACGTTTTAATGGCATGTCAGCTGCTGCTGGAGCAGGTCTTCAACGAGGGCAACAGCCCACTTCTACAGCAACTCTACCAGCACCTGCTCTTTGATTTCCGCATCTGGACTAAAAGCCATTTTGCTGTTTGTCTGGGTGAGACATAAGCAGCCCTCTTGTTGTTGAGTAATGCACCTGTGAACCTTTTCATGTCTGCCGAAGCTGTTTGTGTTCCTTTTTATATGTATATGCGGGCTAAAAGCACCGTAGAGCAGAGATAGAATACATTAATGCTTTGAGTTCAGGCTGTGGCGAGAATTAAAAGTGAATGTGTGCCTGAAGCTTCATTTCAGTAGCCTATTTTGTAAATGTATGCCCTTCTTGGGTACAACCTTGCATATTGGTTTGACATTTCTAAATGTCAGACTGAAAGCAGATGACAAAAATATTCTTTTTCTTCCAAAGCCCATGTGCAGTATCTCTCATCTGTGATAAACAAAGGCAAGCAGCGCATGAAGAGGAAGTATGGGGTCCAGTATATCCTGGATACCATTCGCACGTACTACAGGTGAATCTTTGACACCCACAACAGGGTTTTAAATTAAGACACAGATTTCCTCTACAATATATATTGAGAGAATTTCAAGCAAATTTAACTCAAACTGTAGTTGACGGTTGTAAAAGTTGTCTTAATACTTGTTCTTATTTTAAACCATGATTTCACCTCTTCACATGAGAAGAAGAGATAATTTGTCTATTTATTTACTAATATCTTTGGTCATAGTGTGGAGAAAGATGGCAGCTCTCTGTCTGACGAAAAGCAGACGATTCAAAACTCTCTGTTCGGCTTGCTGAAAGACTTTCTCAAGTCTCCTACACTAGAGGAGCTTCACAGTGTCCTTGCCTACATTCTGACTGTAGGAGAGGAGCAGCAGGTATGTTTTATCTGTGTTTCTTAAGGGAGTTTAATTTTGTTATCATTTGACCTTTTCAGGGTGATATTTCACTCCCAATCCCTGAATGAACTCTCCCTGATCGTCCACACATCTAAACTCCTCTTATGACCACTTAAAACTTCCATCCCGAGCCATATTTCCTGATACGTATCCTCCTCCTCACCTCTTTCCTTGGGATTCTCTCGTCTCTCAATCAGGCGGTGAGGGCCCTGGATGTGCTGTATGAACTCTTGAGGAGCAGCCCTCCTCGTGAGCAGGTGCAGGCGGTGTTGCTGGAGTGGGGCGTGGAGCAGCTGTACAGCTTGCTGCTCACTCCAAGCTTTGGAGACGAGGCCAGAGAGAGAGTCTTCAGGGTGAGAACAACTGACTGGACCTCTTCAGCTTATCACTTGGCTGATATTTCCTGCAAACTCCCATTTGATGTATTGTCAAACCAGAAAAGGCAACCTCTTATGCAATTTCCACTTGATTTTTCAGGTTTTATACAAAATCCTCAAAAGCGAGCGAGTGTCTGAGCGCAACAAGCAGCGCATTAAGCTGAAAGATTTTGGCTACCTTGGCCTGGTGTGTTTCCTTGAAGACATTCCAGTAACCATGACCACTGTGCGATGTCTGTACGAGCAGGTCCTTGCTACAGGTAATGTTGAAACAACCCTGTGCCTGGTGCTTTCAAAATTTCTGTATTTCTCTATAACATTAAATAAGCAAAAGTCAAACTTCAAATATGTTTAATGCTCGAAATCTGCTTCATCAGACCCCTAAAACCAGATTTTCAATAAGCACAGAGAAACTTTCAAATATTAGCAGATGAATGTAAAAACATCCTTTCTACTGTCATGCACATACATCATTCTGCACAGTGAAGCTCAAACATCCAACTATAGGAACAAGAAGAAAAACATGTTTTCGAGTTCGGGCGACTTTAAAAATGTCCACAGATGTTTCCTGGAAAGAACTATGTAATTAAGCACTAATCATGTGTAAGGTACAGACAGTGCTCAAATGTATCACTTGCGGTTTAATCCCCCACAAAATCAACAGCGGCGAATAAACTCAGCATAACAACTAAACTAATTAAAATTAAAACAGGCTCAGAACATTGTCTTGATTTTCCCTTTATTGAGAGCTAAATTACATAATTATTCTACAGCATCTAGGTTTCACACAAAACTTTCAAGACCTTATTGGGAAATAATGGACCTCTAAAATACAGTGTTTCTGATTGGTGCATATACTGGAAATACCAGATATTGTCATTCTCACAAAGTGCAGAAAATTTACAAATACAGAAATCTTTCACACAAATGACCAGTGTGGATCTAATTTTAGAAGATAATATGTAAGGTTATGAAGATTTTTTTATAACAGAAAGCTGATAAAGAAAAGCTGAAAAAAATATGTGTTTCCAAGGACTTTGAAATTACACTACTCACAAAAAGTTTGGGATATTCGGCTTTCGGATGAAATTTCAGAATGTACATAAAATACACTACAACCTTTCCAGGTGATCTTAATTTGACCTTCTACTTAAATGCCCTACTTTCATGATATAATATCACTGTAGCATCAACTTTTTACATTTTCCATAAATTTCACCTGAAAGTGGAATATCCCTAACTTTTTGTGAGTAGTGTAAATTACATTCACTGCTGCCCCACAGATGCCAGCCCTAACTTCAGAGACCTCCTGGCTGTGGTCTGTCTGTCCCATCGAGCTGAGCTCACTGTCCGCTTAGACGTCTGTCGCAAGGTCAGTCTGCTCCCACCATTTATACTCTGCAAAAACTGCCATAGTTAGCTTTTAAATGTGTATTTTCATCCAAAGCATATTTATCATCTCAGTAATGAAAACAAGCTCTTCCTTTGTTCCCTTTAATATTTCCCCAGCTCTTTCATCTGATCTATTCCAATGAGGATTATGTGAAGCAGCTTGCTAAGCAGCCCGGCTGGCAGGACGTGCTCACCAAGCTCTATGTGAAAGAGTCCTACGAGTCCCACGCGGCCAGCATTGCAGACTCCAGCACCCACAGCTCCTTCGAACCAAACTTCCGGCCACCGCTGCACAGGGATCAGGCTCTGGTCATAGAGGAGGCAAGCACGGACATCTTCCTGAGCTACCGCACCTCACAGGACATCGAGGATGAGGAGGAGGATGAAGGTGGTCAGCGGGACATCTCTGAGGGATTCTGTGATTTATCCCAGTCGCCTCCAAGTGGAGGTGGAGGCCCGCTTAAGAACTTCACAGGCTCCCTACATTTTAAGTCATTTGATTCAGTGGACCAGGGGAGCCACTCGTCCTCCATCTCCAATGCAGTTGATATCGCCTCATCTCGCCCCGACGAGGAGGGGAGAGACTACCAGCCCCTCTCGCCCTTTGGTACATCACCCTTTGATTTGGAGCTAGGGGGCATGGGGGAGACTGGCCCACACACTCCTGCAGGTAGTCTGACAAACACACCATCTCCTCTAGAGCACTGCAAACCTTTTCCACCGCTCAGACCCAGGAAGAGCTCCAGTCTGTCCAATGTACTGGATGATACCAGCTACGGGACAGACCCTCCTACTGGGGATACAATCTCCAACACGTCCAACCCACAGGTATGGCTGCTTCCTCAGCTCAGATTTGACTAATATATCAAGTTAAACCCTGATTTGAAAGTCTATTGTTTTTTTATATATATATATAGTTTATTCTTTATAAGGATTTGGGACTGAATGTTATGTGTGTTATAGCAGACCCCAGAAGAGGAGCTGTGCAACCTGCTAACAAACATCATCTTTTCCGTGCTGTGGAGCCGCAGTGGGGTGGATGGGGCAGAGGATGCGGTGTGGAGAGAGCGGGGACAGGTCTTTTCTGTCCTCACCAAACTGGGCTCCTCCTGTCAACTGGTCCGCCCTCCCGATGACATAAAACGCAGGTCAGTGACGAAGATTTCGAATGTATTTCCCCTCAGAGAACAAACACGTTGAATTGGCAGTGAAGGTGCCTCGCAATGGAAAAACAAATTGAACCACACCTTCAACTGTGTCACCTTTTGTCTCAGTATCCACAAATGTTTTCATGTCGTACTGGGGTGATGTATTCAAAGTCTGTTTGCCATCCACGTGTGCCAGTCTGTTGGAGATGATGCTGGAGTCGTCCCTGTCAGACCTGAGGGACGCCCAGGGAGTGTCTCTGCCTTTCTGTCCCAGTCTGGTTCGGCTCCTCAGGCTGCTGCAGGACTTCCTGTTTGCTGAGGGTACAGACAACCACACACTGTGGAGTGAAAAGGTATATCATATATCCCACCTAAAACATATGTACCACTGACACTTTATGTGGGGGCTTTGGTATCAAACAGCTATCTCCAGCTTGATAAAAGTCAGTTGACTGTGAAAATACCAGGGAAAATGAAGGAAATAAGCCTGATACTTTATCTTTTTATCAGCAGTATGAACTTACGTAACAGTCGCAGCCCAAATAAGGGTATGATATCATGTTTCAATTGTATTTACTTCCGCATCCATGTGTTTAAATGTTAAATCCTATTTTCTCTATGTACAAAAACATTTTGATACAACTAAACCTTATATATAATATATAAATCCGATATGTCAAAAAAGAGAAAAGTTTGAGTTCTAACCACAATAAAGCAGCCTGTAAACAGGAGATTATAAATCCTTTAAATTTGTTCCAGTGTTTATGGACTGCACTGGCTCTTTTATGTGAACATTTAATTTCAAAATAAAAGGCATATTTAATTTAATATGCAAAAATAATTATTTAAACACATGGGCATGTGTATGCACTTAAAACAACAGTTCAACCTTTTTGGAACGACACTTGTTAACTTTTTAGATGAGAAGAATGATATGAAATGTCCATTAAATATAAAGCTACTGTTAGCTTAGTTTAGCACAAAGATTCGGTTGCCTGGCAAACTCAGTGGCTGCTCTCAGCCAAGAAATAGTCCAGCACATAAAACCAACTTGTCGTTTTTAAACTTTAACATATTTATTAATAAGCTTTAGATTCCCTGGACAATATTTAGCATGTTTCTGCACAAACTGTACAGCTTCCATTTAAAACAGCAGTCAAATTGTATATATTGTATTGTATTGTGCTTTTGTTGATTTTGAGCAGAGTAGGTTCGCTGTTTCCACCTGTTTCCAGTTTTTATGGGAAGCTAAGCTAACTAGCTGATAGTTGTAGCATTATATTTAGCCAATCATACAGACATGAGAGTGGTTTCTATCTTCTTATCTACTCTCTTGGCAAGAAAGTGTATTTCGAAAAATGCTGAACTATTCTTTTACTTTAGTTTGTTGGGTCTGTAGTATATCACAAACCTCATCATGTTGTGTATCCTTTGTAAAGGATATCTTACATTAGTAAGACAGAAGCAGTCGTGTGTCTTCACTATCTCTGCAGTACTGACTACATACCAGTGCAAGTCAGGCTTACGTTTGCTTTCTATAAATACTCCACCAGTGGAATTTAAATTACTGATGAATTACAAATGCTCAGTCCTCAGAGCAACAGCCCACTTTTTCTTCAATGAAATGTCTTCTTGCCGAAAGCAATGCAGCAGTTTTCTGCAGTGACTGAGCTGGTAGCACACACTGTAAAACGCTTTATGCAGAAGAGTCATGGTTTCATTTGACTATAGTAATTCATATTTAGAATAATCATAATATAGGTTGGGGCTATGAATTAAACATAATAAATCTTTGAATGTCAGACAACATTGTCAGGATGTGATGATGTAATTCTGTAGATGAGTAAAGGAAAAATCAACAGTTATGTTGATATTAAAATCATCATAGTCATTTAACCCTTCTGGGTGTGGTTATTGTCGGTTACCGTCTTTAACGTCAGGGGAAATGTTCATGTCTTGTCTTACTGGAGGGAGGAGAGTTATGGTTGGGTGTAGGTAGCATCTGAATCACCCTTTTAAGTGCAGGTTAAGCTGTGTTTAATATACTGAATGGCTTTAGGTTGTCGTAGATGTTGCAAGGCGTGGAAACAGGTCTAGCCTTTTTGTTGCATCCTTTGTTAACAGTTGTTGTTGTATTGCAGATATTTGAAGGGGTGGTGAACCTGCTGGACAAGTTGAAGGCCTGGCACAGCACCCCTGGTAGCCCAGGCAACACCGAGCTGAAGGAAATGGCCCAGATAGGCCTGCGTATCATCACCGGATACATCCAACGACAGCACCCACCGGTCAGCTGCACCCACGACTTGTCCAGTCAAGTACACCAACATAAATGTCAAATATCTTTCACTCTACATGTCTTTCACAACCCAAACACCTGTAGGATGGAACTTTGCAGAAAATAAATTTAAAGGGGGTTTACAGTATTTAGTTAACTTGACAAGTGCACTCAGATAAAGCCAGTTTAGAAATACCAGGCCTTCTATGGGTTTCTTTTCAAAGACATTGCAGTCATTCCTCTAAGGGAGTGTTCTGTATGAAAGGGCAGCTCCTCTCAGAGTTATGACTGCTGCTCTTGCTGTAGGATTGTGGGATAGAGCAAGTGGTCATAAATGAACTGACCATAAGGCTTTCATCACATACTGCTGCTAGTATTCATTTCTAAAGTAGTGCAACCCCCCCTTAAGCTATTTGTTTTTCAAAATGTCTGGTTTGAAATAAATTACCTTAATTGCACCCTGACATCACAGCTGTGGATATCTCTTATGTCATAAATAAAACAAGCCTGGTTCTACTTAAGTTGAGTGAATATACAAATTAAAATAAAAGAAACATTGACATAGCTTTAATAATTCCAGTGGTGCAATGTATTTAAGTAAATGTACTGTACTTAAGAATAATACAATAGTACTTCAGATTTATGCTGTCTTATACTTCTACTACAGTACATTTCAGAGGAAAGTATTGTTCTTTATTTACTAAACCACATTACTGCATTACTTTTGGGATTTTTCAATAAAATATGATTGATGTTATAGATGAAACAACCTAACATATAAAATAAATAGCTCTACCTTGACAAAATACAGTATTAATTAATCAATATTATAATATATAATAATGTAACAGTCACAGTCTTTACTTATGAAAGCAGTATGGTATTTTTTACAATGTGGGTTTAATACTTTTACATAAATAAAGGATCTGCCTACTTTTTCCACCACTGATTAATTTCTCCTTGACAAGACGTTAGAAAGTAAGGAGTATAGATCCTAGTGAGGACTTGAAAACTAAGTAAAACACCAATACATAGGGGAGAGTGAGGTAAGTTGAGCCAAAGGGTAAGTTGAGCCACCCCTTGTTGCTAGGAAATGGTAAAAAACATTGATCATGTAACCAAATATTTAGGAGGAAGGCATCATTTCATGAAGTCTGTGAATGTAAAAACCACATGGGTAAAGTGGTTAGATATTTATATGTCTCGACTTACCCCATACACGGGGTAAGTTGAGCCACAAGACCACTTTTTTTTGGACATGCTATATAATCGAAACAGTTATGTTTACACTCATTCTGTTTGTTTGAAGGGATGCACAACATCCTGAAATATATGCAGATATATTAGTTAGCGACAAAACTATGATTGCCTTGATGTAGTGATCCTAAATATGAAAAATGGCTCATCCCACTCTCCCCTATACATGTTTGTTTATAATATCTCTTCATTAACTGTATGTATTGGCTCTCTGTTAGAAGCACAGCAAGTGATTTGCCTCTTGCCCCTCTTCAGATGTGTGAAATGGCCTACTTGAAGCTCCACTGCCTTCTCCAGACCATGTTGTGTCTGAGCTGGGAGGAGGTGTGCTTCCTGCTGGGGCAGTTGGGTGCCCCCCTGTGGCCAGGAGGTGTAATTGACAATTGTGGACATGCAGAGACTTTCCCCCAGCTGGTGCCTATTGTGCGGACGCTGCTTGACCAGCATGCTGACCCCGTCACCCTCCAAAACCTACTGCCAAACCTGCCCATCACCAATGGCAGCACCACCTTCGCCCAGGACCTGAAGGCTTATTGCCTTACAGCGGAGTGGCAGGGGTTTTACCAGCAGCAGGTCAGTGTTTTGGCTGACATTGTGAATTTAAAAATAGATGTCATTTATCTTATGTTTAGGGAGTCTAGAGAGCCTGGTTTCCAGTCTTTGGTATGACTAAGCAGGTATAATCAATGATCCACTCTAAGGTACTGCCGGCTCTGTTCTTTGTCACATTCGTGTACACTCAGGAGTTTCACAATCTTGTCTCCTGGTTTGACCAGTTACCTCCTGTTGGGTGGCTGAGAAATCTAATCCATATTTAAAATATGCTATCACAAGTTTAGAAAGTTGGAAAAACAACCCTAAACTCCCAGGTGTTTTCTAGCTGACCTTGAATGTATTTTGAGCAGAGATCGGTTTAAGCCTAAACTTGAAGCTGAGATATTTTATGAACAGATGCCAGACACGCTAACCACTAGCTGAGAGGTGGATTTATCATCGCTCTGTGTGACAGTGCATGTTCATAAATCTGTTTTGTTTAGATTACTTCTGTATACGGATCCTGCAATACATTAGCCTTTATGGCAGAACTTTGGCTGCCGTGAAAGTTTTGAAACTTGGCCCAGGCTGATATCTGAAGCATGTATGTCTAAATGTGTAAGTGTTTGCAATTCATGCAGTTTAGCCTATGTGCTTTTTATATGCACAATACAACTTTACAAATTTAGCATGAACTGGTAAGAAAGTAAGAAAAAAGGGATAAAGAAGCAGCAGATGAGTTTCAACAGTGCAGAAGTTGCAAAAAATATCTCTCTAATTTAATGAATAAATAACTAAAGGCAAACTGCTTTACATATTAAAAAATAATTTACCATCAAATCCTTAAAAAGGTCAAATTATGGCATGTAAGTGTAAACTTATCGAAGTCCTAATTCGAATGTAATTTTTATATACATTTATATGGTTTTCCTTGATTTTAATGATGATAATATAGGTATTTGTTTTGTTGGTCAGTCTCCAGGTCGGCATCTTACAATCAATGTTTTTGACTTTGTTGAGTTATCCTTGTAGGTGAATGTTTGTGTATTTTTGTTAAAGTCCTTCTGAAAATGTACCCCTAGGTTCGGCCCACCATGGAGCAGTATGAGCTGGACACATTTGGGAGGAGCCATGACATCATGTCTAATTTCTGGAATTCCTGCTTTGATGACCTGATGAGTACAGCCTTCAAACGAGACAAAGACCGATCAGACAGCAAGTCTAAGTTTCAGGTTAAAAAAACTTCCAGGCTTCACGCAACAAGCATTTTAATATAATCGCTTATAACAGCTAAACATGATCTGACATTTGTGTATCTTTGTGTGAAAGCAGGAAGTCATTGTGGACCCCTATCTGAAGAGAGTCAGGAGTGAGAACAACAGGTACCTCAGTTGGCAGAAGCAGAGCTCCAGCCAGCAGGGGGTGGTGTGGCAGCACTGGAGAGCTCTCCGCAGGCTTTTGACTAGTGAGAGAGGAGCATGGGCAAACAGGTATGACAACGTCTGACTTATGTTCAGTAATCTTTCTCAAAAGCTCTCCGACCAAGGATTACCTCTGAGGGGATAAGGTGCATCATCAGTGGCTGCCTTTTTTTCTAAGTTGTACAAAAGAATAAATACAAACATGTATCTGAAAATTCACTGTCCTAATTTTGACAGAGTTCAACCAGAGGTGAAACTGAAATTGTCCGGTGCAGAGACCTATTCTAAGATGCGTCTCAAACTTGTGCCCAACCACAACTATGATCCTCACGGTGATGCCAGTGCCCAGAGAGACAACATGGGTATGTCACTGGGTATAAAGATATTAACTGCGATCTTTTGTCATGTAGGCAATGCACAGTAACAGTGCACTAAAGTTGATGTTTTTGTGATTGTCAGGAGCTGACAGCCCTCGTAGCTCTGAACCCCTCCCATTGGCTGTTGCAAAGGAAGCAAAAGTGAGCGACATGGAGGATGATCAGTTAGGAGAAGAAGACGTCGTCTTTTTGGATGACAAGTGAGTCCAGTTTTGCATAACGTGCCAGTGTTTTCAATGGACCATAAACGCACAAAGCCACTTCACATGGACCAATCACACCGGCTTTGAAACACTTAATTTCTGGAATATTATGTCCCAGTTACAGTGCAGAAAATGTAAAAGTTTCAACCTTTTCTTATGCTGTCAGGGTGGAGGGAGAAGACGAAAGCCAGAAAGAAAAACTGGTTCTGTCTGAAGACTGTGAGCTCATCACCATTGTGGCGGTTGTTCCGGGTCGTCTGGAGGTTACCACACACCATCTTTACTTCTATGATGGCAGCAGTGAGAAAGAAGAGACAGAGGAAGGTAAGAAAATATGTGATCACGAACACCTAACTTTTTTTCTACTGTTTTTCAAAGGGTCCTTACAGAAATGAATAATATATGTGTCTTTAGGAATCGGGTTTGATTTTAAGAGACCCCTGTCTCAGCTCAGGGAAGTCCATTTAAGGCGCTACAACCTGCGACGATCTGCACTGGAGCTATTCTTCATCGACCAGGCTCATTATTTCATCAACTTCCGAAAGAAGGTGATGCACAGCTCAAATTGAACTCCTTCTTCTCTGTATTTAGAATGAGATTATGTGTTTTTTTTAAATGATGGGTTGATGTGAAACAAAGGCTTCTAGACTCTTAACTCTTAAATCCTTCCTGTCTGCCCTTTCAGGTACGAAACAAAGTGTACTCAAGGATCCTGGGGCTGCGGCCTCCCAACCTGTTTTACTTCGGCTCTCGCTCCCCCCAAGAGCTACTGAAGGCATCGGGGCTTACACAGGTATTTATTTAATACGGTTCTTTCCATGAATGCTGAGTTATTAAGATCTGAGTTGTGTTTATTGTGTTGGACCAATCTGATGTTGATGTGTTGAACAGAAATGGGTCTGCAGAGAAATCTCAAATTTTGAGTATTTGATGCAACTGAACACCATTGCCGGACGCACTTACAACGACCTCTCGCAGTATCCTGTGGTAAGTACACTCCATCTCCTTTGACAGTGTGCACTACTTATATTTATGATCCTTTCATGACAAAAGATGATGTGCGTGCTTGTTGTGGTTGTGGTTTTTTTGTGTGTCTCTCTTCAGTTCCCCTGGGTCTTGTGTGACTATACCTCTCCCATTCTGGATCTGGAGGACCCATCAGTTTTCAGAGACTTGTCCAAACCCATAGGTGTGGTGAACCCCCGCCATGCGCAGAATGTCAGAGAAAAGTAAGTGCTTATATAAAAATGTGATTCTGTTTGTTTGCAGATCAGTAGCCAACTTTTATTACTCAGATGTCACAAGCACTTCAATGGAGCAACAAGGATTAGGTTTCGAAACAGTCCAACTGACGATGGCATAATCAAACAAAATGTAATTACCTATGACAAGCAGGCTTTATGTTGTTTGTCGTACCCCACTGAAATGAATGAACAGTTGCTGCATGGAAGCTATGAAAGACTGGAGGATACATATTTTGGAGTAAAACATGCAAAACCATTCATTCTGATGCTTTGATCAATGAGCTTTTTTCTGTTTGTCACTAGATATGAGAGCTTTGAGGACCCAACAGGCACCATCGACAAATTCCACTATGGCACACACTACTCTAATGCAGCAGGAGTCATGCACTACATGATCCGCATGGAGCCATTCACAACCCTGCATATCCAGCTGCAGAGTGGCAGGTGGGATCGCTGACTAATGCATGATTTTTATAAAAATTTCCTGGTTTCCAAATTTTGAGGTCTCATATTGGTGCGTGGTGTCTTTGTTTAGGTTTGACTGCGCAGACAGACAGTTCCACTCGGTGGCAGCAGCCTGGCAGGCTCGTATGGAGAGCCCAGCTGACGTCAAAGAGCTCATCCCGGAGTTCTTCTACTTTCCAGAATTCCTGCAGAACATGAACGGTGAGGAAGACTTTACCTGTGTTGTCACATGTAAAGGTGATATACAAATTATATTAAAATATGTGTTTGAAAGAACCTAATGAATCACTGCTGCACAATATCTGTAGGCTTCGATCTGGGACGTTTGCAGATATCTCAGGACCCAGTGACAGATGTTCTGCTGCCTCGCTGGGCCACATCGAGAGAAGACTTCATCAGGAAACACAGAAAAGCCCTGGTAAGTCTACACAAACCGCCAGAGTCTTAAAACGTAGGCAGCCAGTTGTTGCATCTGTTTTCTAACGTACTGTATTAAGACAACTACTACAACTTGTATCTTAAACTCTAGGAATGTGAGCATGTGTCCAGTCACCTTCATGAGTGGATTGACCTGATCTTTGGTTACAAGCAGAGAGGCGAAGAGGCAGTAAATGCCCTCAACGTCTTCTACTACTGCACTTATGAGGGTAAGGAAAAAGGGAATATTCTGTCGTACTAGTGATGGACGAAACCGGCTAATCTTCAGCTCCTTATTTCCCATATTACTCAGCGTTTATGCATGAACAGTGTTTTTCTGTGTTCTTGTATGAAACTCACTCTTGCTTCCTGTTATTCTGCAGGTGCAGTAGATCTGGATGCAATTGCCAATGAGACAGAGCGTAAGGCTTTGGAAGGCATCATCAGCAACTTTGGACAGACCCCCTGTCAGCTCCTTAAGGTACAAATACCAGACTAATTCACAGCTACTCTTAAAGCTTTGATTATTAACACAATGCTTTTAAGTTCTGTTTATCATGCACCTATCTCCAACCAGGAGCCCCATCCTCCTCGTATGTCAGCTGAGAACGCAACGAGGCGGCAGGTCCGCCTGGACACTATGCCCCTGAATATCTTTGAGCAGCTCAAAAAACTTCGGCCATTTGTGGAGGTTGGTTCTAAAATACTAATTCTAAAAGTACTGTCATGGTCTCATTATTTTCTTAAACAAATAACTCGTATTGTATTTGTGTGTATGTGTGTATTTACCTGTGTTTGTGTGTGCCTTTAGGTGGTAAGTGATGGACTTCCTCTGGTCCAGGCAGTGGTACCAAAGAACCAGAATCGCTCCTTCATTATCCAGGGCTCAGATATACTGGTAAGGTTCGGCTGGACACTTTCACATATAAAACTCAACACAGCCATGACAGCAATAACGCAATTCGATAATAATGATAAGATTTGAATTAGTTGAAGTATAGTATTTTGTATTAAGACATTTTTTTCCTATAGGTAACTGTAAGTTCAAATGGGTTGATCGGGACACACAGCTGGCTGCCGTACGACAAAAACATTGCCAACTACTTCACCTTCACTAAGGACCCCACCATGACTAATCCCAAGTGAGTTCCCTCAGAAAACATACGCCCATGTGAAGTCTTTAGTTTACGCATTCATGCAACATCCCCGTGCTTTTTCTTTTTCTGAGAAATAACTATGAAAGCCACCATCATTAGCTCACTCCAAAGATGCATAAAATTGTCCTGACAGTTGGATGGAAGCAAAACATCTGTCTATCCTTCTTTGTGAAGCTTCAAAGTCTGTTTAATTAATTGAAATTTGGTTTAATGGATCTTCTTTTAAACTGACCTTAAACTTGGAGCACGTAAACACAAAATAAATCAAGATGAGAACCATTTGAACACTTGGTCTCACGCAGGTTGTAATTTGCAGATGTCATGACTTTTTTATGTGCTGATTATAAATCTCCTCCACATTTAGGCCACAGCTCACTCTCACTAGTTGTTTTAAACTTGCTTTGATCTTTCCAACCCTTGCTTTGTGATGCAGAACACAGCGTTTCTTGAGCGGCCCTTTCTCTCCCGGGGTGGAGATCAGTGCTCAAGTGCTGGTGGTGTCCAACGATGGCCGTCTGCTGTTCAGTGGGGGACACTGGGACTGCAGTCTCCGTGTCACCCAACTGGGGAAGGGCAAGCTGGTGGGCAGGATCTGCCGGCACATTGGTAAGCCCTTTTTGTTGTATGTCTATATATATGCTTTGTTTCAGTGTTACCTATTTATTTGTATTTTTGTTTGTTCCACAAAGACGTTGTTACTTGCTTGGCTCTGGATCTTTGTGGCATCTACCTCATCTCTGGTTCAAGGGACACATCCTGTATAGTGTGGCAGGTTCTACAGCAGGTAAACATTTTTACATCTCTCTATCTTCATTTTAGGCTCAGTCACATGCTTGTACCCACGTGAATGATTATTCGCTGCCATCAAAGTTATGGATTCTTTGCCCTTCAGGGTGGCTTCTCCAGCAGCCTGTCTCCTCGGCCGGTGCAGGTTCTCTGTGGACATGACCAGGAGGTCACCTGTGTGGCCATCAGCACTGAACTGGACATGGCTGTCTCAGGGTCAAAGGTCAGAGATATCACTCTCTATGAACAGTTATAAGCTTGATACAACACACACAATAAGTCTGTGAAATAGTGATAAATGTCATCACAGTTTCCCAGAACCCAAAGTGATGTCAATAAATAGATGTTAGATACTCAGTTTACATTAATGTAAAGTGAGGAGCGGAACATTTGTTCTAGTGTTAATCAATTTCTTACTTTTTATTTATAAAAAACAAAAAGCAAATGAGGAGCAAAAAAACAAAAAAACAAATATTCGTGTCATGGGTTATTCAAGTCAAGGAAAAAGTACCTCATATAAAAACTAAATATTGCACATAATAACATTATGAGAGATCTAAATAAACATGCAATTTTCCCACTGTTTTTCTCCCAATTTTCTTTGAAGTTGTATCAAGGAGGTCATCTATTTTAGAAGCTATAGATATTTAACAATATTGACAAAGAGACTGGCAGTGGGGCCTTTTTTCTGAAGCCAATGTTTTGTACAGGCCTTTTTACTTGCTGCCAGCAAGAGCTTTAGGAGGTAGGTATCATCCTTATGTACCTTACCCCATCAGGGTTGTGTCCCAGGGTTTTTGAAATGATTGTTGCCACTTCCTTCCAAAAATTCTGAATGGAAGGAAGACCAGAAGACATGAGCGTGATCAACCATGATTTCTCCACATTGCCTCCAGTTTGTTTAGGCTTCTGTTTCGGGGGTGATAAAAAAGCAAATTAAGTTTTTCCAACAGAAGTCTCTCCAAAGTTCAGGAGCTGGGGCAAGACGACTGTGGTTCCCAGGCATTCAGCCACATGTCTTTAGTTATTTCAATTTCCAAATCTTTTTTCCATCGCTGTTTCACATAGCCTGTGTCCTCACTGAGTGATGCCATGGTATAACTTTCTTACAAGACCTTTATTGCTTCCCGATCTATAAATGTATGAATAACAATTGGTGGCTCTTCTGAATTGGAAAATTTTACCTTTTTATAAAAATAATCCAGAAGCAGTACAACTATTTATCAATAATTTAAAAAGTATAGAGTGGTTGTAGAGTAATGATAGAAAGTATTTGATTAATCGACTAATCATTTTCACTCTATAGTAATGATAGAAAGCTTTCATGTTAGAAGACTTTTTTAATGTTCTCTGTCATACTGCTCAAGCTCTGTTGGTTTGTGTAGGTGTGAAAAATGTGGTTCAATCTCAATAACCACAATATTTTTTTAAATATTGCTTGGATGTTGAAAACTGTGATGTGGTTCATTAGAAGTGAGAATGTAATCCGAACCAGCTACAGGAAACAACACACGCACTTTTTCTAGGTATGAAGAGACAGATGTTGCCATCTTCTTGCCAGCAGTTCTTTATACCTGGAAGTCGTAATGTAACAAAATTAACCACAGTGTTATCTGATCTCTCATACAGAGCTATTTTTTTCATGTGCTCCTAACTGGTATTAAAATTAGAGAAAAGCTACATAAAACAGCTCTAGTTTTAGGGGCTTTACATTGATCTACTTCGACTCTCTTTGTTGCCAAAAGTTTCTGCATGACACGTTGCCAAAACTCCAATAAACTAGCTACTTGAGAGTCCATGTGTCTTTGGTTTAAGAACCCTGGTTTGCATTGTGGAGCTAAAACAACACACACACAAATGCACAAAAAGTAGAGAAAGGATTACATCAGAGAATAAAAAAAGTGTAGGTGTGATTGGATCTTTACTGACTCTCACTTTCTGTTCACTGTGCATCAGGATGGGACGGTGATAGTGCACACTGTCCGACGAGGCCAGTTCCTGAGAACACTGCGACCTCCAGGTGATAGCTGTGTACCTGCACAAATCTCTGAGCTCCAGGTGGGCATGGAGGGCCACATTGTGGTACAGACCTCGCTGAAGGAGCGCTCTAATAGAAAGGTACATTAACGCATACAGTACTGTGTAAATATAAACGCAGGCAGAAACACATGCTCAACAAAGTTTCTCAGCCTGCTTATGTCACTACCAAAATTCTGCTCATCCCTACAGGGCAAGTACTCCATTCATGTTTACTCAGTAAACGGTGGTCTGCTGTCCTCTGTTACCATGGAGGAGCAGGTGACTGCTCTTCACCTGGTGTCTGAATACATCATCTTGGGGACCATGCAGGGCAGCCTCCACATACAGGATTTATGCAGGTAAACATATTGAGAGCATAGTTTGCAGCATGCATTTAAAACTCTAAGTCTAAATGTTTGGTTCTTCCTTTATAACTCTTTTCTGTTTGACAGTCTGGACGCTCTGGTAACACCGCTGGCCTTGAAGGTTCCTGTGAGGAGTGTGTCTGTCACCAAGGAGTGCAGCCACATCCTGGTGGGACTAGAGGACGGGAAGTTAATTGTGGTTGGAGCAGGAAAGCCAGAGGAGGTGAGAAGCAGGACATCAAGTGTTTGTGAGATTCGGTAGTGGGGTGGTGCATGTTTGTATGTGTGAGTGTGTGAGGGGGGGGGGGTAACCATATGCTAAGTACTTGTTGAAAACCTGTTTTGTTCGAATGATAATTGAGCGTCTTTAGTCTAACATCTCTGTTTTAGTCCTCAAGGGAAGATTAACACGTTTACCCTCCTGTTCTCAGGTTCGCTCAGGACAATTCCCCCGTCGCCTGTGGGGCTCCACACGCCGCATCTCTCAGGTGTCGTCAGGTGAAACTGAATACAATCCCACTGAGAATGCTGGCAAATGAGATGAGCAATGGTGGAGAAATTCTGGGATACCTGCACAGCCAAGATGCTCGTCAGACTCAACAAGGCCTTCCTTCCTTTACATGCTGGGAAACTATCCTCCTCAGCCACTGATCTCTCTGAGAGAGCAACTATACACTGTGCACTTTTTTTTTTATTCTTGAATGATTTGATATTTTATTGCGTATTTGATTTACAGTTGTGTACTATTTTTAATCAGCATCATTCCAAAGAGTGGCCTTGTTTTGTGGAAGGAGAAGAGCTCCTTTTTGAGGTTGTGAACTGCTGTTGAACTGTATTGTTGGTGAGTCATATTTAAGGGATGTGACTCATGCTGATGCACATACAGCCTCAGAGACAGAGAGAAGTAACGCTGTGAACTCCACAGACTCCATGTTCTTGGCTTCTTTATTGTGAGAGGAACAGCTGTGATCCCTGTGCTGTTGAATGTCCCAAAGCCATTGTTTGGCAATGACACCTTCTTAAAACTCCTGGAAACTTGAAAACTACTGTAGATGTTGCTCGAGATTTCCATATTGCAATACTAGTAATTACCACAAGAGGGTTGACTGTGTAAAGAAAGACATGGGGTAACTGATCACTAGTGAACCAATGCTGTGTTGTGATCTTTAGCGGTCGTCATCAGGATAATCCTTGCACCAGATGTGCACCACAATACCACAGTATGTTATCTAATCAATCTTTAGGCTCTAAGCTATGTAAAACTGTTACAGTTAAAGCAATAACTGCTTTAATGGTCAAGTATGTGGAATACATTCACTTTTTTTATCATGATCGTGGAGCTTGGATGCAATGAAACTCAAGAGGAGAGCCTTCTGATGCCTTACACACAATGGAGTAAAGGCCTTTACAAATGTGTCTGTACTAGTTCTGTTCATCACATGACTGTATCCCTGTTTTATTTGATCTAAAAAGTGCCTTTTTTTAGCTTGTGTCTTGAGCCATGTATAAACACTGAATTCCAGTTATCTGTTTCTATTTAAAATCACTATATGTTACATTTTATCCCTGCTGATCAGATTTGAGCACACCTTACTACTCCCACTATGACTAAGATTTCGGATAGGATATTAATGAAATCTGTTGCTAGATGCACATACTTGCCTGTACTGGTATTGTGCTGTTTATGAAGCGCTGAAAACATCTGATGACTCTCTGAAACGCGTAAGCAGAAAGTCTGTGAGTGAGCTTCAGAGGAATTCACTTCCTGCCAGCTTCTTTTACTGTGGTTAGAACAAAGTAGTTGTTATGCAGTGTCATGATGGGAGAGACAAAGGGAACTATTTGGGCGAATGCAATACCCATAACATGGTGCACACATAAAAAAAATCACCTAGTCTTTGTAAGTGATGCTCAGAATAACCTTAAGTGTAAGTAAGTATAAAAGAAACTATATTTGAAATGTTTACTTATCAGTTCATCTGCTTTCCACCCTGGAAATACACACAATCAGTGCATTCAGCCTGTCTAAAACACATTTTATTCAAATTATACAACTGTAAGATGAGCTAAGTGTATGTAATATAAAGGAGTGTTTGCATACCGGTAAGTAGCTGTTCACATTTGATAATCTAGTTTGCTATTGTGCATACTGATATCGATTCGTGTAACACCACTCTGTTTTGCTCTTAGTGTTATGGATGTAATGTTTCACCTAATTAATCATGCAGAAACGCTCAGAGCCTTCAGTTTAATCGAAATGGAGGCTTCCTTTTAGAATTGGGTCTATACAATAACAGAAAGTAGGTTTAAGTCATACTGTATATAATGTGATGTTACTTGTTGTTCAGATGTCCTGGTTTTAGATTTAAAGCGACACAAAAAGCCTTAAATGAAGGCCAGCACTGCCTTGAATTTGGACTTGATCCATTTTTCTTTATTCACTATTATTTAGTCTTTGTATTGTTCTTGGAAGATGTTGAAAATACACTTTTTAAAAATCAAGCTGCCTGTGCTTCGTGTAACTTAAACATGACAACGGGAATTGTGGTCGTCTGTTTTCTCTCTCCGCTCCATAATTTGTATCTGAAGTCTTAAAGCTCTTCTCTTGAAATTTTCCTAATATGGCCAATAATTGTGACTGCACACTTATATTCAGGAATCCTCTCTTCTGTGAACCACAGCCATATCCTGAGGATGATCGCCCATTACTGAAAAGTGAGCTCTGATTCTTGTGTGTGAACCACAGCAGGAAGGAAACTGATCCGCAACGTAGATCATCCAACTCCTCTACTGTAATCCCAGCCTTTGCATGCGTCTGTGATGTTAGCCCTATTAGAGTTGAAAAGGTCACAGTGAGCAATGGCACATTTACTTGAAGAAGAGACTTTGATCTCCCGGTGGGCCGAACATCCTGTCAGCCTCCCCATAAACACCTCCGGGGGTACAATTGAGGGGGGGGGTGATAAAAACCGACCTGTAGACCCCCAGTCAAATACAAACCACAGCATAGTGAATAAGGGAAGTGGAGAAGGAGGGTGAAGAGGGATGCAGTCACTCTGATGTGGTCCCATTGACAATGGTGGGAGGGGTTGACACCTCGCTCTCATTTATTGGCAGTATCTCCCTCTGACCTCTCCAGACCTGAGGGCAGGCTGAGGGGATGGATGTCGTGAAGTGCTGCAATTTTGGTGTTGTTCAAGTTGTTCCTGCCAAGAACCGCAACAACCCTCAAACAGGCCTCCGTCAAGGACCTCAGCCCTCCCCCCCCCCCCCCCCCCCCCCCTTCCGGTTAATTTCTCCTCGGGCCTATGGTACAAAACTATGTTTTTCTTTTTTTATAGCTGCCTTATCGTTTCCACTCATGTATGACAAGTGGAACTCGGCCCTCAGATAAAGGAGTCTGTGCCCCTGCAGCAAGTAAAGAATAAAGAAGGGACAGAAAATGTTTATTTGTCTGATTGCTGATAAACTTGGGTTTATTTGGCTATTTATTTAATACTTGCTCCAATGCACTGCAAAAATCTCCATCTTAGCAAATAGTTTTTGTCCTAAAAGTCATTTGTTCTTTAAACAAGTGTAGTAAATGCACCAGTACAACAAGATTACAACAACCTGTGTTATCCTGATAGCTCAGCTGGGGGAACTAGTGGCCTATGTACTACAGCTGGGTGCTTGCTGCAGCCGGTAGCCCTTTGCTGTGTGCCATCCCCTCTCTTTCTCTCTCTGTCTCTCCTTTCCTGCCACTCTTCAGCTGTCACTATCAGCTAAAGGTAATAAAAGCCCAAAAATATGTTTTAAAAAGCGTACAGCAACCAATAGAAAGCTACTTACAATTGGCACTTAATTATAAAAAACAAGTTGGTTTGTCTTAGAAATGTGCTGAAAATAAAATAAATAATTAATAAAAATAAGTGCTAAAACATAAAATTATCTCACATCACATCAAAGTTATTTTTTAGAAGGACTTTTGTGTCACAACACTGAACAAAAATGCATCCATCATACCAACATCCCTTGGTATGATGGAGATTTTTGCAATGTAAATGACATTTAAGCCGTGCATACTCATCTTTATTAAAGCATTAACTGACACAATCAGAAATTAAGATTTTTTTTTGTCTGTATGAAAGAGAGAAAACTTATGTGACTGAAATATAGCTTGAAGTTTTATCAGAGCAGGAACATTCCCTCTGTCTCCTCTCATCCCTCAGCAGGCTTTGAAGTGCAAGTAGTATTGTGTCTGAGAGATCTCTCCATTTGTTTTCCTCTGAAGTCTCAGGGCCCCCTGCGATGCATTCACTAGAATTTACAAGGTGTGTAATTTACCCTACGTTGGTTTTCTAATCTTTTGAATTGCTGAGATCAAACATGCACTTCTTCTTAAGAGCATCTTGTTTGATTCACATGCCCTCTTTTGTTTCTGATAACAACTGATCACAGCTCTATGTAAGTATCTCTGTAGGGTTGTAAAGTGGTGTCATATAACAGACCTCCATTTAAAGGTTTTATCCTGGTTTTAAAAAACAAATCACTACTGATTATGATAAATGTTGTGGGAATAAAGTAAAAGTATTAGTGAAATGGCCCATTTCATACGACATTGTTGTATCAATTATTGATGCATTAATGTACTAAATTTAACCACTTTATATATTGCATAGTTGAATCTGTAATACTGCATCATAACTGATTTTGTTGGTTTGTATTGTGTGTTAATAATCTGAATCTAATTTAGTGGAGTGAATAGTGCAATGTTTGCATCCAAAATGTCGTGGAGTAGAAATATAAAGTAAGAAATGGAATTACTCAAGTAAAGCACACGTACCTCAAAATTGTTCTTGAGTACAACACTTGTACTTAGTCACTGCCAGCAACCATTGTACCATATTACTATGTAGTATTAACTAAATAGAAAAATCAGAAACATAATCTTATGAATAAATAGAGACAAATTAAACTGTCACTGTGAGAAGAACATTTTTATAGTACAAGGATGAGTTTTATACATTTATTGGATTATATTACAATTTCATGGTTCTTTTCTATATTTTGCAGTGGTGAAATACCACCAAAAAAACCCCAATCACAAGTAAACACATTTCTACTTAAGTATCAGAATCAGAATCAGAAATACTTTATATTTATTTATTTTATTTATTAATCCCTGGAGGGAAACTGGTTGTGTTACAGTTGCACAAGTTGCAAAACAAGACCTTATAAGAAATATAAATAATAATAAGAATTTTAAAATATGTGCATTAAATTACAATATATAACAACAATATAGAAAATAGAAAAATAATAGTTTAATGTGTAAAGAGTATAATGTGTACATTATATTACAGTATAACAATATATTGAAAATAGAAATAAGACCTATGTAGTACAGTGTAAAATAATAATATAAGTATAATAAATAAATGCTAATGACTAAATACTGACAATGCTTGAGGACTGGATCCTAAATAGGTGTTAGAACATTATACAGTATAATTGCAGTATTAAGGACAAAGTAAAACCAGAACGTTAACCAGAGTATTGCACATTTCAGGGGTTAATGGCTAATGATGATTCTGAGTGTCTGACTCTCACAGTTGAAGAGTTTGATGGCCACATGCAGGAATGACTTTCTGTGGGTGCTTAAGTATAATGAGCAAAATGCACTTAAAGTATCATAAGTACTGCAGTATAATGGGCAGTGTGAGTGGTATACAGTACATTCTGAGTTAACTTTAGTGATGCATTTATTTTGTTTATTTGTTAGTGGTGTTTTAACTATTTTATAGACTGGCAATTTAATCTGTAAAAAGTGACTATAGTGACCAAGTAATGTAGTGTATTGAAAATAATAATACCATCAAATTTCTATTTTAAGTAAATGTACAACTGCTTTTGTGTCTGAATTTATTGATGCACTTTTTAATCTCATAATAGAATTTATTAATTCAATATTGAAGACTTTGGGTCTCCATATATCTCTGCTTGGTAGTATTTTCATACAGTAAATCTGCAGACCACAACATCACCTTGTGTTTTCCTAAACACTTCTTTGTTGATTCCTGCAAGTGTGAGTGTATCAATCACTTGACAACAGAATCACACACAAACACACACACACACACACACATTGACAATGACCGACTTGACTGCGGCTCTTCGCCTCCCATTACATTCTTGTTCCCAGCACCGCGTCGCAGGGATGCAGCCAATCAGGAAGCCAGTGTGAAAGCTGAGGAGATGGGAGGAGAAAAGGCCCAGGAGAGCTTGCATGAGCTTTTTCCTGCCTCATCTGTTGCAAAGCTGCAGGAGAGGTGGCAGCCCGTGCATCCTGCCAGCCGAAAACAGAAGAAACTTTGTGTTAACTTACACAGAATCAGCAGGGAACGCATTGAGAGAAGGAAATGCGTCTACCGCGCTGTTACTGGAAGAACCTACGGATTACACAGCCTGCATTGTAAAGCCGCTTTCTCATGCGTAAAAAAACCCATCTGATTACAGGACTACACCGAACTTCCCCGTCTGCAAAAAAAAAAAAAAAAAACAGCACGTTTTTTAAGGAGAAGTTGCTCTCTTTTTTTTTAGTGTCACATTTACATTTCGAGAATTTGGAAGTTTTGATGCCACTTTTTGTGCGATTGTTGAGGGCTGAAAAAAAAAGTTGTGTGTCAGAGATTTTGAGGCGCACCAATCCGTCCGCTCGAAGGATTTTTGGAGACTGAAGACATGAGACTGTTTGTCATCTGCGCGCTTCTGCTGTTAAAAGTAAGCAACAGTTCATTACAGCTTTACTAACACAGTAACACACATTTCAACACAACTCAAGCGCCTGCATGATGTGCTCCTTCTCTTATTCCACACTCCTATCAGCAGTAACATCATAATAGTAGCTTTTTGTAAACTCAATCCACGGAGTTCAGTTTTTACACCATTGTTCCCAAAGGAAATCTATTTTACACCACATAGCCATATTTCATTAAGGCTGTGTCACATGTCCCCTGTTGGTGAATAATTAGGCTATGTTAGTTGTTGTGCTGTATGGCAAATAGTGGAAAGAGTGAGGGGAGACTTCTGATTAAATCTCATCCGGTCTTTCATGTAAGGTCTCTAAGTGAAAGCAAACCACTCCTCAGTTCTCTAAATACTTGCTTGTTTCTCAAAAGACACATCTTGGACCGTGGCCTACCCTACTGTACTGGCTGTTTTAGACTTTTATAGTCATTAAACATCCTGGAAACTTCACAGAAGCTCACTATTTACCCAGATTAAGCAGCTACACGGTGATAAAAGATGTATTTTATGAACAAATGATAGTTTCAGTGGTTTTTGATAGCATGTTATTAAGCCAGGATCAGTGTGAAAAGAAGGCCCCTGCCTCCACAGTTGCAGACAATAATTTGACACTCATCTACCTCAAAAAGCCCATGGGGCTTGTAGTCCTGCCTGGACAAGCTCTTCAGAGTCAAAGCACTTTTGTTAGATCAAAGTGTTTAGATAAAACTTCATCTCTTAAAAAGATCTGTATCTCATCCTTAATATGAGGGTAAACTAATCAAAAGGGTTTCTTTTTGAGCTCTGAGATGCAGTTTCTCTTCTGCTTGCAAACACACTGACTTTGCACTGGAGTTTCTTTAGGCCGCTGAAAAGGGATTATTTGTGCTGTCAAATTATTCTCTGATCACTCCCTGGGTGATTTAATGCAGTATGTGAGCACACTCTTTGTTATGTTCTACTGGTAACTTGCTCTCTAAGGCTCATATTGCCTGTAGTTTTCCGTACTTTGATATATTTGTTTCAGCTCCTGGTAAAAATGTGGCCCTAGATTTCAGTGTTGCTGGGTCTGGATATCCGGAGCAGAGCAATTATCATCATTTTCTCCCAGTTTGTGGTGTGTGTGTGTGTGTGTGTGTGTGTGTGTGTGTGTGTGTGTGTGTGTGTGTGTGCACGTATGAGTTGGGAGGGGGTGGGGGTGGTTTAGTTTGTTACCACAGTCATTTGAATTTCCATAGAGTAGTTAAGCAGATTTTTCTTTTTTTGGGGGGGTAGACCTCATGATCATTTAGAAAATTTTTACCACTTCTCAATTCTTTGAATTCACAAAAACCAGCAGATTAATAGTTAACAGATCACTTTGTGCTGTCTTCTTTGATTTAGGATCGTATTTTTGGGTGAACTTGATGCTGGAAAAAAAAAAGAAACCCATGTCCTTTAATTTGTCCCTTACGCTCCCTGTATACTAATGACAGTAATCAGTGAAGATGGGATGTGCAACAACTTTCCCTCAGCTCAGGCTGTCTCTGCTGAAAGACCTCTGTCTGTTGCTGTCACACAGCCAGAATGTAAAGGCTCATGGGTCATTGTCTTCACAGGGAGAGAGGGAGAGAGCATCCTTTTGTGTGTTTATTTTCACGCAGATTAGATTAACTGTGGAAACTCCAGCCGATGTGCTTCAAAAGTAGTCTCACTTCAAAAGGACACAGAAAATGTTTCAGACACGGAGAGGGCTGAAATGAAGTGTGTGTGTGTGTGTGTGTGTGTGTGTGTGTGTGTGTGTGTGTGTGTGTGTTATCCGCGATGACTGAGTGACTCCGGCAGCCGTGGAGTTGAGAGCCCCATTGAAAGCTGTGCTCCTCGGTGGTCCGTCTGTTCTCACTGGGGAATCCCTTCAGATTGCAACTTCTTACCTAAATGGAAAAAAGCAACTGCAGCCCACTTCAGACTCTCTGTCCCCAAAGCAACAGATAAGCCTGCATGCACAACAAATTTATCTTTTGGATTAGTATGATGGTTAAGGTTAAGGTTTTGGTTTCACAGTGATCGATAATAGTTGAATTAATTAAATAGAACAGAGTTAAATAAATGTTTAAATGGTAAAACAAGTTTATTTTACATGCCACTAGATAATATAATAGACTCTAATAATAAAAATCTAATAGTTTCACTTTGTAAACAATCATGCTCTCTCTCTGTCTCTTTCTTTATTCTTCAGCCACACACCTTAAAACTGTTCATTTTACTACCATACACACTCAGCGTAAGAAAGTTTTAACACTTTTTGTTACGAGTGGTGGATTGATTGTCTCATTTTTTTAATCAGTGTAACCATGATTGATTCCTTACAGTATTAAGTATAATTCATGCCAATAAACATTAAGTGGTGTCCATATATAGTACTATTTCAAACTGTATATACAACAGATAATGATTTACTCATTCCTCTACTGAGTAGATCACTGTTCCCACTCGTCTCCAGTGGGGCAGGGACTAAATATTTTATTGTACACTAGGCACCAGTGGGTAAAGTGCCAAGCCTTTGGCAGTTCCTGCTCTGAACCGCGTTGGCACTCCAGGACGACTTACAGAGCTAGACCAGCACAGACCCACAGCAGGCACTGTCGAAATCCAAGCTGGAGGTAAAAATTAAACAGAGCCACTGTCACCAAATATTTACCAAAGTATAGACTGAGGGTTAAGAGGTTAGCTTGTGTTAGTAGAGGAGCTCCATCTGTCACACGGAGAGGACCAACCAGAAGAAGCCTCTGTACTACAAGTTATTATGGTCCAGGCTTGGTCACAGTCTGCCAACTCCAAACATCCTACTGGTTCCTGCCTGCTGGACCCTACCACCCCAGCACCCTAATACCTCTGATCTGGGTTCTGTGGCCGGTGCTCAGATATCATCAGGCTCCACTGTAAGCACCGCAGTAAAACAGGCTGTTGTTTTTGGAACGAAGCAAACCCTGTTTCAAAGCTGTTATGCCTGTAGTATCAGCATGGAACATTTCAGTGTTTTGTGACTGGGGGCATGGCTTGGTGTGTCTATAGTGTGTGTGTGTGTGTGTGTGTGTGTGTGTGTGTGTGTGTGTGTGTGTTTCTGGTGGGCTTGTCGAAAGGCTCTACAGGTTCACACACGTTGCCTGTGTTTCTTGGCAGACTTCAGAGACAAAGAGAGACATCAGTGGGTTGTTTAGCTGTTACTTTTCCCCTTTGCAGGAGGTTAGTTGTTAGACATCTGTTTGCTCTTGTCAGCCCCCAGGCGGAGCAGGCCAATCTCCCTTAAATGTGTGCATGTTTAGAATGCCGTTGTTCAGAGCCTAGAGAAGGGGAGTTAGTGAAATACTGACCTTCATAGACACACCTGCGGGGCTTGGCAACTTCAAAGGCCCCCTCTCTCACCCAAACAGACACTTGCATGCTGGGCAGCCTTGGTTAACTGACACCCTTGCCTGAGGCTTGAACCGTCTCCTCCTTTATATACCCCCCCTCCTTTTTTTTTTGATGTCAAGAGATACACTGTATTCACACACAGATACACATTGTCATTCACACTGATATGGATTTGGAAAGAGTAGGAGGGCAGAAGCTCTTTTTTACTTCTTACTTCCTCCTTTTCTCAGTGTTTTTCTTCACCCCTTTATGTCTTATTCTTTCCACTGGTCTAAAGCCATCTGATTAAAGCCAGCCAGTCCCGTCAGGCACCAGCCCTGCTGCACAAGCCGTTAGGAATGTCCGATCTGTCCCTCATGTCATAACTCAAGCCGGGCTCTCCATTACCCACTTGTAGATAAGGACTCAGAGCACTTAAAGGGCGAAAACTGAGGTAGATAAAAAGGCCATTTTCAGTTCACACCGTTCCCTGTTTCTTTAATTGCACAAGGGTGGGATGTGTGGGTGATTTCCTTCCCGCCTGTGGTGTAAGGCGGAACACTCGGACAAAGAAAACACCCTTCATTTTCTTGTTCGGCAACTACTTACGTTAAACATGCACCCTGTAACTGTTGACCCTGTGTCAAAATAAAGACAGTTGATTCAAAAATAGCCCGTATGGATAGTTTTTTTTTTTTTTTTGTTACACAGTGGTGGTATTTTTTCTAACTATGTCATCTATTTACTGTAGGTTACTCTTGGAGATGCCTGCGCCAGTGGCAAGTTCACTGAATCAGGGCAGTGTTGCAGTCTGTGTCCCGCCGGCTTTGGAGTGGAGGTAGAGTGTGGGAAAGAGGATACCAAGTGCACACCATGCCCACAGGGTGAGCAATTATAATCTAATGTTACTCTAGCAATGCAGAATATGTTTTACCTGCCTTATCATTATCTCTGTCGTCTTTTCAAGAAGCAGGAAGATTTCAAACTGTGTCTCATCATTGCCACTGATATTTGTGAGAGAAACACTGCTTAACACTTATATTTTGCAATCTGTTTCCCAGGAACATTTTCCTCATCCGAAGGCCTCGGCCCTTGCCTTCCGTGCGCCAAGTGCCCACTGAGTGTCCCCATGTGGGCCTCTTGCTCCGCCACTCAGGACACACAATGTGAATGTGACAGCGGCTTCTTCTTTTTGAGCAACCATGGCCTGTGTGCGTCTTGCTCCAAGTGCAGTCGTGGCGAGGGTGTTATCCAGGACTGTGGCCCACAGGGAAACAGACTGTGCCAGATCTGTGGCCCAGGAACATTTTCTGAGGAGCTGGTTAGCACCAAACCCTGCCAGACCTGCACCCAGTGCTCTGACAGTGAAGTGGAGATCCGAGCTTGCATGCCCAACTCTGACACACTCTGCATGGGTGAGTTGTAAGGACAAATTAGACTAAGAAATTACATTTGATTTTTAAAGTCTGGTGGTATTCTATATTTGCCTTATTGTCAACAAATCCCATGAAAAAATATGTGTTATTAGTTTAGCCAAAGCCAGCTATGTATGTCTTTGTCTTTGCCTGCTTTGCCTGCTGTATATGTCCGTAGACCTTCATTGTTCAATAACAATATTGTTCTGGGTGCCATGGTCCTGTTGCTAATTTTTAATCAGTCCCACAGTCATTCTCCTGCTGCTGTAAATTCTTCCTAACGCACCAAATCTGCAGCTGAAAATAGTCTCTAACAAATACACTATTTGTAATGTCATAAAAATGACAGTCTCTGCTGTTTTTTGCCTTTAAAAAAAATATGCTATATATATATTTGTGACCTGTTTTAAGTCTTTAGTAGGAACGAGTGAGCTTGGGGCTGAGTGCCACAGAGTAGGAAGTTGGAAAGTATTTAAAGACGGAGTACTGCTTTGTTCATTTTGGTCTTTCAATGCTGGGGTCTTCAACGTAGGACCCCGTAGCTAAGGAAAAGAGCAAGGACCCCCAATTACATATATTGTATTAATTGTTGTTGGATTCATGTTAGTGTGTATTTTCAGACATATTTAAATTTGTTTTTAAAAACAAAAAAAAACACTTACAAACGATGATCAAACAATAATTTAATAATAATTTTGCAACCTCCCCCTTAAGTAAACCTCTAGTGGTCCTTTGAGTTTTAATGGGGTTTGCTGCAGTAAGAAAAATATAGAATAGTGCCAGCTTTATCCCTTAAAGATCTAATGCAGGGGAAGGCAGCAATCGTAAAAGATAAAAGAATGAGATAAAGGGAGGGGGACAGGGAGTGGGAGAGTCTGTGAAAATACAAGGACATGTGGTCAACACCTGCATCCACACCTCATCTGAACACTCTGTAACACTCTGAGCTGGGAAACACGAGTAATGAAAAAAGAGCCCACTGAAGTGCTGTAATCCAATTGGTATGAGCTTGACAGGTCTTTAGGTTAACTGCCCCCAAGAACTCGAAGGCCGAGACCCTGACGGCTAGTCTGCTTGCTCCCAAATGGCTTCATGCGCTCTCCAGGAGTAAGGTCATCTGTACACACTCTGGTTCCATATGTCATGACCAATTGACCCCAGAGAGGTCAGCACAGTACCTTGTAGTGTTTGATCCTAAAATAGGCTGACCACAGGAGGGAGAACGAGGCTGGAAACAGGGGCAATGAAAGGTTTCAAAACCCCAGGGGACCGGGATGGCTGAGGCTATCATTACATCAGGCGTACAGGCTTCTGTGGAATTATTCCTGGCACTAATTTAGGCAGCCCAAATGTGTCTCTGATGTGCATATGTGCAGATGCAATGACACTGCCCCTGACATGTCTCTCCTTTTCTCAATCTTAATAGATAAGAAGCTGCACATTCTGTCTCGTCCTGCTCTGGATGTGCCCGGTGGGACCCGAGATGTTCCTCTCTTGCCAGGTGTCGAGACGGTGACACAGGAAGGGGACACCGGTTCTGCACCTGGAACGCCCAAGTTTACCCCACAGGATGATGGTGGCAGCAACAACATTCTGGCCTACGTGTCTGTTCTGGCTGCTGTGGTGCTGGGTCTGCTAGTTTATGTGGCTTATAAATGGTGAGTTTTCACTAGGGATGGGTCCTAGTCCTTAAATGGATGTAATAATCATTATAAGATTGGCCCTGGGATGAAAAATAGCTCACTGTGGGTAGCTTAACTGACATTGTTTTCCTCTGCTCTTCTCAGCTGGAGATCATGTAAACAGAAGAGGGCTCTCTCTAAAGCCCGTGCAGCTGAGTTGGGAACATCTCCAGAAGGAGAAAAGCTCCAAAGTGACAGCGGCGTTTTCCTGGACTCCCACAGCATACAGGACAACCAGCCCAGCAAAGGTGTGGTAGACACAGGGTCTTTGAAACTAAACTAAATTAAAGTTTCTGAGGCTTCAGAAGACATTTTAACAAGGTTACTAAAATATCTAGAACTTTATTATTAGATTATTGAAGAAAAAGCACAGAAAAGAAATCACGTGTTATCACAAAGGCAAGAATTTCGACTAATACTTATCACGTTACCTCACTACTTGTAATACTTAATGGCTACTTGTATGTTTCATAATTGATTTTAAAGTCCTTGTGTGAACAAAAGGACAAGAACAACACAGGGCACCTTTAAGTTCCCAATGTTCCTCCGAAGAATAGGGAGGGCTTGTAAGATATTGAACTTAGTATTTCTAAAAAGAAGAAGAATTATCATCAGAACACCTATGTTTTTAATCTGACTTTTAATTTAGAGTCTTATGCATCAATCATATGGATACTATAATTATTGAAAATATCTTATTGGTGTGTTTTTTTTGGGTAGATCTAGCCAAACGGTAGGCTAATTTTGTCCACATTTCCACAGGTACAAAGAGGGACAGCAAGCAGGACAATCGTCTGTACATCAACCTACCCCCCCACAGGCAGGAAGAGGTAGAGCGCCTCCTGCAGGAGGGAGGGGGCAGGGGGTGGAGGCAGCTGGGGGCAGCACTGGGCTATGAGCCTGAACAGCTGGACTTGTTTGGGCGTGGAGAAGCCCCCGCTCACACGCTCCTCTCTAACTGGGCCCAGAAAGAAGGCTCCACCCTGGGGCTGCTGTGTTCTGCACTGGCTCGCATCGAGAGGCCTGACGTGGTAACAGCTCTTAACTGCCCCGCGCAGGGTGTCTCTGTGGTCTGACAACTCCCCAAACACGTATGACACTAACAGACTCAAGAGAAGAACTTGAAATGACAAAAGAGGCACTCTGATATCAACACCTCTGTCACTGTTGGAGGCTACCACTGATGGTTCTGTTTGCTTTGTTGGGACACTTATAATTCAGTTTTTACTAACAAAAGAGACCAAAAATTATTCTTGTAACACTTTCCTCTATCCAACTGCATGTAAAAGTATCCTGCAATGTGTCTGTTCAAGCAAATCACCAGTTATCAGGGGAAATTAACTGAATATACAGTATGTCACACCGCCACTACTGATGGAACAATTTATTTCAGTTATGGTTAAGCCTCAATGCCTTGCTCATTGGACACTGCAGAAACCTGGTCAGATTGGATTAGACCTACAATAACCTCCACATGCGCTATAAGTACATATTCAACATTGTTTACATGTACACAAATTCTGGTTACTGTGAGCATTCGGTTAGGAGCAGGTAACAGAATAATGTGTTTACACGTGTTGCATGCATTTGCTCGTTCTAAAACCACTGTTTACATGTTATTTGAACAGTAATCAGATTTTTCCCATGCTCCCTCTTAAAAACCTCAGCCTCCCACGTGCTATTGTAAACAAATGGACGGCTTAGATCATCAGATTTGTCGTCTGGCTAGCCTTGTTTTATGAATCACAACTGCAGCAACCACTTTGGTATTGCAGTTCATTTTTGCCAACAACCATGCTTCAAACAGGATACGACTTTCCCTATTTGGATCATTTCAGTTCACATGGTCTTGCCTAAAAAGAGAAAACTCCACCCAATTAAGAGTTTACACGGCCAAGTGATCAGATTTCTCCAGTAGAAATTCAGTAGAGGTCAAGGGTCTTCTTAACCATGCCAATGATGCTTGTAGTTGGTATTTTCTTTATAAGAACACTTTATCAAATGTGTAGATGGGAACTACTCACTAGATGGTTTTTAAAATGTGTGGCCTTGTTCTGTTTTTTTCTTATTATTTTTCTGCTGCAGTCTCTGAGTAGCCTTGGTATTTATTTACACTGAGGTTATGTTATGCACCAGTGATGTTTCAAATCTCATCAGAAGACACACAAAAATGAAGCATTATGTTAAATCTAAAAACACCTTTCCTAGCTCTTCCTAATAATCATCTATGATTGTAAATACCTTAAATATTGCTTTGTTTTGATAAGTCATGGCTTACAGTGAGATCTTATTAACTGTGAAGAATGAAGAAAAGGAATAGAGATTAATCTTTTCCCTCTATATTCATAATACACAGCTACATCTTTGTCACCTTGATTTCTCATATTAGACAGAAAGTTAAAATCCAAGACACCATTAACATCCAATACACGTGTCCAAGTTGCCATCTTGCTTTTGTATTTATTTCATCACCATTTCAAGTCTATAACTAAATAAAATCTATGAGAACCATGGACATCTGCAGTGTGCTAGTTACGCATATGTGATGGCCTCAGATGGTTTGATATTTTTTTAACGCCAGCCATGTATGGTTTTGTGTATATATTTCCTGATGGTTTGCCTCAATGTGTTTTTTGTAAGAGTTTATCATTTAATAAATAACTTTGATAAGTCAGTGCTCTTTTGTTGTAACAGAAGGACACTAAATATACTTAATTTGCACAGTAAGTATAGCGTCTTACAGTAGGCCTTGATGATATTTAATGCTGTAGATGAGTGATTCTCAAATGGAGGGGCAGTTGCTTGTGGTGTGTGAGATTGGGAGTAGTGCAATAAAATGAATTAAAATGGTAAGTAATGCATTGCATTTGAATAACCAGTCGAAATAGTTAGCTTAAACTATGAATGGTGAACTTGCTTGAGATAAATGGTGGAATAGCTAAAAGTAAATGATGGTAAATGGTTAAAATAGCAGCTAAAGTTGAGGGCTATGCAGTTGAAGTATCTAGGATAATTGGTTGATGTTTAAATGGCGGTGGTATGAAGGGGCATTTGAGTTCATCTGATTGGGTGGAAAGAGTACAAATAACAAAAAGATTCAACATGCCTCAGTAATTTGATAAATATAGTTCTATTTTTGGGTGTCTTCGTGTCATATTTCCCATAGGCCCTAAACAATTAGCAGCTTAGCATTAAATCTGCCATTGCTTGTGTAGTTTGTATATTTTGTTATATGCCTCTGTGTGTATATTTTCCGTCAAATGGCAAGAACCCTTTCCAGCTTCCTTGGAAATCTGAAAATGACTGAACTGGACCACAACCACACTCCTATAGATATGTCTGTCACAGTAAAGTATAAAAACCACTTGATGGATTACACAGTAAGGAAGTTTGGACATATTTGGAATATACTACGCCTTATCAAGGGATTTAGCGTATAAGAACATTTCCTATCCAAAACCCTGAGGGAAATCAGTTAAGAGGTATTTAATAATTTGAGGGTGAAATGAAAATAATAGCTTCATCCAAAATATTCTGGGGGAAAGTTTCCTCTTTCTCTCTGAGGCACAATCTCCTGCTCCCCCTCTGCTCTGAAATCTGTTAATGATCTCTTTGCATTCAGTTCTAAGTGGGAGCAGGCATCTTGCATGGCCTAGGGCAGTGTTACATGCCGTCACACACTCCAGACTGAACTGCTTAACTGCGGTCTGGAGCACACAGGCATGGGGGTGCGGAATGCGCATACACTGGGAGGACTGGGAGGGGGGTTGGGATAGAGGAGAGAAAGGGAAGCACTAATATGGAGACTACACTTCACTTCATGGGTCTCCATGTTGTGAACACATTGAACGTCTCTAATGAAGGCAGACGATCACTTTGATTCCCTTTACTGGGGACAAACATCTGGCTCGACAATGTGCGTATGTTACATAGTGGTATTTGTGCCATGTGCATTCCGTATTAGAGGAAGGAGCCAATCTAAAATGGGATTGGGTGTGCACTCAGCAGTTAATCATGTAGCAGCATGTAAATTTGCTTGGATCTGCTAGAGTCTATTTAACTGACACCCAAGTGAACTCAATTCAACTGCACAGTATGGAAATGGATATCATTTTACAAAAAAAAGTTTATTATCTTTTAAAATGTTTTATGACAATGTGCTTACACAATACTTACAGTAGAGTAGGTGTAACTTTTTACATAGAAAAATAATAATAACAAAAAGAAAACCACATGAAAATCTCCCCCACCACTGAAATAAAATAGAGGGCTGTAAGTCAGCGGGGTCCTAAGTTTGACAGACTGATGTGGGAACTGCATCAGGAGGGCTGAGCTGGTGAGGATGGGTGGGCTCACTGTGCTCCCTGACCCTGCTCTCCTGCATACAGCTTTGGTAATTTTACAAGTTATTTACACTTTCAATCATGAAATGAGAGTCCTTTTACAAAGTGTCTGCTTATTTAAACATTCCCAAAACTATTATTCAATATATTCACATATAAAGCAATGTACATATGTTGGAACTTTGTTTAATGCAATTTAATAGGCTTCAACAAACTATGCTAGAGAAACTACTTTGACAACCGTAAAAAATTTTGAAAATTAATAAGTAACAGTTTGTGGAGCAAGGCAAGTCTAAGTGTCTCTAACGTCTCACTAGGACATATAAATGATAAAAAGAACCAGAACACACAAGATGTTTAGAAACTGTTAAAAATACAATGCTACAACCTTCATTTTCAGCATTATTCCTGTAAGAAGAGAAAACAGGGCAGAAGAAGTTGTGGGAGGGGTTAGACAGGAAATGGGGCAAAAAAAAAAAAAAGATACACAGCTAAACAGCACATCAAACATAGCTTTCAAACCCTGCTCCCGTTATTATACATAAATTGATAAAAGACATGGAAATATTGATCACTAACCCCACTGTCAACCTGCTGGTTATTGGCTGATCCCTAAGTGTATTGTAAGTAAAAGCTCATCCCGGTGAGGGCATTTTACTTTAACCAGGAGACATGGAAAATGTAGGAATTTCCATAAGGATACCACGCTGACCTCAGCCTACATCATGCATTCATAAAACAACAGAGGCTCCAAAGTCTTGTGGTTAAGAAGGCAGGGTTTGAGGAGTGGAAGCTTGGACCTCCACAGCCCAGTTAAAAGCAGCACCAGATACAGAGTCAGTGGCAGGGGGTTGAAGCGTGCACAAGAAAAAGGAAGTGTGGGGGGGGGGGACTGGACCGTTCTGTCATTGATCCATGTTTAACAGTGGAAAGTAACAAAGAGCCTTTGATATTCATACCAAAAGTTGATTCTGTTGAGTAATCCTCATTCAGGGATAGAAGACTTTAAAAAGTGGAATTGAGGTGATCATCTTGGGAACATTTAAGAGCCACAAATGGGAAAAAAAATGCTTAAAATCAAACAGTCAGTGAAAACATTAGTCTCTGTGGCACCCCTCAGTGGCATTCTTCGAGAACACTGCACCCGCTGCACCAGGAGTGTCGGATCGTTCGGCAGGACCCAAGTCTCCGACAGTCTCTAGAATGGGGCTCCTCCGCGATCCACTGGGCCTGGAGAGCTTCTTGGGCAGCAGTGCAATTCTGAGTCATAAATATGCGTAAGAAACTACTTCACAATTCGGACTGGCCAGTACATACATGAAGGAGTGAACGCGAAGGCAAATCTGTGCTTCTCCTGTGTCAGCACAGAGCAAGTGCAACATCTGAGGCCTCCGAGCCTAGTACACTTCTGTGTCCTCCTTGGGCCTGTACACAGAGCCAAATCTTTGCATGTATTTCTTGATGTACTCCTTGGTCTTGTGCTTCACATTCTCGTTACACTCAAGGTCCTCAGGATTGGTGCAAGCTTTCAACTCCTTATTCATGACTCCGTGAGTTAGCTAGAAGAATGGGCAGACGAAAGAGTTAGACATGTTTCTTGTCACCAGACTAAAGTAAATTATGTAATTACAATGTATATCTCAGTTGTGGTAGTGGTTGGATGGTTAATTCTCTTTTAGTGACTTTGCCTTTTATAATTTAAGACATTAAAACGCAATCTCTAAATTAGTGAAGCCCAACTCGTCTTTCTGTTTATTGTGCCCCATGTCCTCACAGTCCTGGTATGTCCAAGTGGCACTCAGTGCAAACCACTCCCTACATACACAATCCATGGACCCACCAGGAACCATGGAAAAACAGAATGCAGACCTTTGAAGAAACGCTGGTTGAAAAGAGCTTTTAGAAAGGAATGGGTAAAACAAAAGAGGGAGATAATAGTTTACATGTACAATGTGTTCTTAGTCTCTTCCAGAGGCACAATGCAAAAACATTTGGCTGGAGAAAGAAATCGTGGGAGCTCAACTATTTAGTTCTGGTTTGAGGGAAACTTTGAAAACTTTTCCTTTTAAGTCAAAAGCTGACCAATGCTTTCATTGTGCTCTGACCACACAGAGGCCAAGGAAAGGCTCAAAGATTCTCAGCATTAACAGAAGTTTGAACTGCACGCACAAGCATCTTCTTGTTTAATGTTACCTTTCTAGCCAGGTGTTTGAAGTCTTCTGTGTTGCTGATGCGTCCAAGTTTGCAGTCTGGCTTCCGATAAGGATTTAGACATTGCACTATGAACTGGGACATCTGAGTAACACACACGCACATAAAAGAGAAGAATATGTAAAAACAAATTAAAACTTTCATGCATGGCTAAACTGCATTAATCTCCTTTTTAAACATTTGGAGTTAAATAACATTGCTGCAAACATTGTTTACAGACATGGGACTCACCTCTTTGCGAAATGTCTCTTTACTCTTTTTCGCTAGCTCACTGGAAGTGTCTGCTTCAGCTGTCTTTGTGGAGAACTGTAACAACATAATAGAAGAGATGGATGATGTGATTAAAATACTTGTTTGCAAACAAAATATAATTTCTTTCATATTAAACCCTTGGCTTTGCATGTGTAATTTGTCACAAACTAACTCCCATCTCATTGTCAGACGTTTTCTGTGCTATAATGGATGACAGCATTTGCTACCATAAAAATCACAAATTAGGCCCCACCTGTGCATCCGCTCAATCAAACATGGCAACTGGCTGCAAAACAGTAGCTATCAAGGTCAGTGGGGCATCAAACAGCAACTGCTCACCAGCTACTTGACATAGAGCAGGGATATCCTGCCAGGATGCTGCCTCTCTGGCCCCAGCCTTCAACAACAAAGGCAAGCAGGCAACAGCTGACTGCCTATACCCACAACAAAGTGGTCAAGATCAAAATTGAGCACAAAGGTTCACACAAACACACACACACACAAACACGGTGCCGGGCCAGGAATCCAGAAACAGTGAAATCGGACACTTTACAAGTACAGAGCATGTGCCATAGCTTCAAGTGCTGGACGTGGACACCACCACTGTCTAAACACATGCTGGGAGATGGTCCATGACCATGTCGCTGTTCTTGGCGGGAAACACTGAATAAAAAACATAGATCTATCCATCACAGTTTTTGATGCTTTTTTTCCCAAGTCTGTAACATCTTTTCAAAAGAGACAAAAGGGAGGGACACTTGCTCAGTTGGACTATAATATAAGAAACCGCAAATAAATGAATGCTGGATCAACCAGATGGTTTCTATTATCCTCAAAGTCAGGATAAAAATGAAGAGGGGGAAAACAA